ACAAAAAGCAGTTTACTGCCATAAAAATTCCACATATGAAATCAAGATTTGCTTTTAGGGAATGACAAGTTCAATCTACAGATTTACTGATTAATTTGGAATGATAATCTTACTGCAACCTTTTTTCTGCAGATATTAGAAACCTTCTGTTTTGCTTTTCGAAGGAATGGTACATGGTGTTCAGGAACAATAAGCTCCCGCTGCTTTGAACACCTGTTACACACAGCATGCAATCTGATTCCATTAAGGCTAACAAATTCATTTTGTTTTTGTAGTGAGACGCTTTGCACAGATTTGTTAGGGCTAAAACTTATTTTTTATGTATTCATTCACAAAGTCTTCAAATATCAGTGCATTATCTGGAAAACTGCAAGCTATCATCACACAGAATTAGATCACATTTGCCTAAATGAAATTCCGTAAACACAGGTATGTATCTGTAACGTGAAAGATCACCAAAAAAATGTTTTTTTTTAGTAATTTATTCTTGATTATATTCTTTCATGGAAAATGAGGTATTTGATTCATGTTGAACTCTTAATGGGCACGGAGTAAAGAAACAGAAGCTAAAATGGAGCATTTTAGCCAAAACCAAATTAGATATATTCAGAAAAAAGATTCTTGAACATTAAAACCTGTAAACTATTTTCAGTACAGCCCCAGTGTTAAAATAATGAACCTTCGAATAAACATAATATTAGTTCTTGTGTAAATTTAGGGATGCTTTTCATCTCTCAGCAAGCTTTGACAATATTTTTTTGTCTTTAATTTGCTTTATGATGTGCAAACTGAGCCCTTGCATAATTAACGTCTGACTTCACTTTGTTTTGATTAGGAAGCTGAATTGTAACTTGGGACAAGGTTCTTTATTATGCAAAACCTTTTTTTTTTCATTTCAGTCCTTTTTTTTTATTAGAAACTTTAAAAGAGTCTTTGAGAGTCTGAAAATATCAATAGATGTTTTTTTTAAAGCCAGTCTGTGACTTAAATGTAATTGGTTTACACAGACCCAAACAGAAGCTTTTGAAGTTCTTGTTGCTTAGTTTGTTTTTATAGAAGCTTTTTAGTTTTTTGCTATAAAAGCAAGCCCAAATTTATCACGCTTTAGTAAATGTCATCCTCGCTTACATTAACGTTTAGCAATGGTGAATAATTAAATATTCTAAAAAAAATCTGTTTAAATTCTCCAAATAGTAAAATCCTTGATATGAAGGAAAGGGACAATTAAAGCCAAAGGTCTTTAAATTTCAATTCTGTTGCTTCAATCTAATACGTGATAGACATGCTACCCACAATGCTTTGCAAAAGTATTCAAACCCTTGTATTTCTTGTACATGGAACTTCAAATGCACGCAATGCAATGTTTTTTTATAATAGACCAAAACTGCATACCCTGAAAAAAAGCATAATTTTAAAGTCGAACCAAAAAATATTTATTCCCAAATAAAATTAAAAAAGGTTTTTGCTTGCTCTTTACATGTGGAACACACCTTCCGACACGGTGGTGGCAAAATGATGCTGTTGGGGTTATTTTTATGAGTTAGGGAGACTAAATACATATCAATAAGGAAGAGTGAATCTTTTTTTATTCTGAAAACCACTTCAAACCATGTGAGACACTAGTTTCACTTAATACTTGTTGTTGGTACAATCCAAATATAATACAGTAAAATGCATAACGTTTATAGATGTAATGTTGCCAAATGTGGAACATAACTAGGTTTATTGATATTTTGCAAGGCAGTAAAAAGGTTTTGTTTCTTTTATTGGTTTGATTCAATACTTAATGCAAAAATGGGATTAGAAGTTAGATGTGTTTCTATTAGAGGTGTTTCTAAGACCATTTTATGAAGGGAGAGCAACCCTCCAGACGTGTTTCTTTCTGGTGAGCCGGAAAGAGGCATATATCTGATTTAATATTTAGTATGAGCTGCTTCCTTCTCCGAGAACTGCGTGGCATCTAAATCCCCTAAGAGCTGCTACTCCTATTCATCAAGGCAACCCACAATTGGCCCACAGGGTGAGTAGCAGTCAGTTATAAATCTACAAATGTCAGATGCAGAAATCTAATGTGCTTCTCCTATAGCAATTACATTTAGATAAATGTTAGTAGTTGAGCTCAAAGTAAAAGGGGAAGTTATTTGGAGTGTGAAAGAATCCAAATAATATAGAAAAAAACTATTATTCTGGTTTTTCACACATACGCTGTCCTGCCATAAGTTTAGAGAATGTTACCTTTCACAGATTTTCATTACACAGGCTTTAAGTTAGATTTGAAATAAAGCTGCAACTTTATAGAGAAATACAAAAACTTAATACATGTCTAGCTGGCAGGCTATATATTAAATTAAAGGTATTCTCAAATGCATGTAGACTCCACTTCAGAAAGGTATTGCATAACATTACAAAAGAAATCTGAGCAAAGCACAGTTTTAAAGTATCAGAAGCCACTGATCCTTTGAAATTCAAACAAGTATACGTCCATATATATATGCTACTTTATTAACCAGAAAAAAAAGGTACCAGATTTCATACAAATTCTATAGTTTTCTTGAAGAAGTCATTATAGATGGTTATAGATGTATTCAGGAGGTCTGTGGAACAAACCTAAAGATGACTTTTTGGTGAAAATGATGTTCATCGTAGCTCACCATGATTTTAATATAAAGAACCTTTCACTTTTTAAGCAATGAGCTCTTGAGCCTTTAGGCAGTCCCCAAAACATGCTAGTGTATTCCCCTTTCAGTTTTTTTTTTTTAGCCTAACCCAAGAGATGATTGCAGGTAAAAATGCAGTCTCCACAACAAACCCTCATAAGATATGTAACATCTTGCTGCAAACTCTATAGGATCTTCCTTCCAGTTTCTTTAAAAACACAGTCTGCTCTGTACCTTTTTGTATAATGCATTTTTGCTAAGATAGAATTAGGCACGGTCTGACTATTTTAGAAACTACTGTGCCTCTGGGATTTCCATGCACAACCGTTTCTTGGATCAGCACATAATGGTCTGGAAAAAAAGGACTATCCAGGAAGCACTTGTGTGGACAAAAAAGGCTGCTTATATCAGAGATCAGAGAACAGACAGACTGACATGATAGAAATGTCTAAGTAGCCCGAATACCCTCTCAATGCAGTGACATTATGTGAAATACCATCTGTAAACACAGCACAACAAAACTCAAAGCTGATGGGCTACCACACCAGAACACAATGGAGCAGCTCCTGTAAGCTCAAACCAGGGAAATTAGTTTTTACAGTTCACTCAGGGTCACCAAAAAAAGAAATAGTAAATTAGAATAAAAAGGTTCAATCACTTATAACTCTTGATTTCACCTGCAACATTTGCATGACAGAATTTAACATAATCAACATAGAACATAGATCCCCCTGTCTTCTATCATTTTGTAACATTTTAGGCTGCTGGTGGTAATACGATCATGTTGATTTTTTTTTTTCTGTATAATTTAGAAGTGCTGGTACCAACTAAGCTTTATTTAAACATCACAGCCTACATAAGCATTTATACTGACTATGCCCATCTCTTCATTGCAACAGCATCCCCATCCCCATCTTTTAAATGGCAGTTTCCGGCTAAATAATTGAACATGTCACAAAGCTCAAATCATCTCACTGGTGTCTTTTACATGGAGATGAGTTCACTGTTTTCTGATAGTTTGCTCAGTCACCAAATCCCAGCCTGATATGAAATCTTTGTAATGTCGGTACAGATCCTAATCGAATCTCTAGACAAGCATGTGGTAGCCTTGTGTTATCATGTCAACATGGAGCATATTTTCTTAGAAATATTTCTGGCATCTAATGAAATTCCATGAAGAATTAGGACATCTCCAGTTGTGTCAAAAGTACACACATTTGTTACTTAAGTAAAAGTATAGATGCTGCAGTTTAAAAAAACTCTGGTAAAAGTTGAAGTATCAACCTCACCTGTTTACTCAATAAAACGTGAAACAGTATGTGCTCCAAGAAAAAAAAAACAAAAAACAAAACTTAAAGTATAAAAGTAGAAAGTAAAAGTCAGATCCATCAATGCTAACACATTGTACGTAAGGGTTATGGTTTTAATCTACGCTCTGGATTACCCATAATTCCAAGTTGTAGTGTAAAAAATTTTATATTCAAAAACATGGTTCTTTTAAGATCTTTATTGCGGTTTGAAACATATTATATGGGTGTATTTTTAACCAACTAGTCTAATGAACTATACACAGTTATTAATATAGTAATTTAAAGTACCAATGTCTGCTTTGCTATTGGTGTCGTGTTTAAACGGCTCACCATCTTGTTAAAATCTGCCATGTGTTGGGGTATAAATAACGTCCGGCCAGTTATATTAGTGTCAAGTGGGTTTAAGAAGAATTTTTCGCGCCATTACATATTCACAATTATGTAAGGGGCCAACCAGGTGTCAGTGACGGGGCCCCTCAGAGGTCGGGGGCCCCTAAGCAACTGCAGTCTCTGCTTACCGAAAGTTACGCCTTTGACCTCTAGACATCTCTAATGGTACCAGTCTGACCCAGTCTAACGCAGTATGTGGAAAGTGTGCCTATTTTTTATTAAATCCTGGAACAGCCTAGTGGATAAACCCAAATCCAGATGTAGATTTGTGTTATCTATGAAGATGCAGGCTGGGATAAGAGGATCACCAACACTCAGCCACAGCAGGACACATGGAGAATGGAGCGTAGCAGCTTTGTTTCCCCCCACAGAGTCTTTTACAACTTCACAAGAAATTCATAATCACCCAGCTCTGAAAAGAACAGCAGGGACAGATGTGAAGGCATGCATACTGATGGGCTATAGGGGTGATTTTAAAAAGTGAGACATGGCCGGAGGGCAGCTTGCTTTCTGATCTACACCCAAGATGCCTCTGAGGGGCCCTCAGGACGACCATTCACTTGGAAAGTGCGCCATCTAGCGGCTCACAGAGCTTCCTGCACATCATCGGGTGGAGCCACAGGCAGCTCAGTGGGTGGACTCTTCGTGGGTGTGTGTGAATACAGTTCACCTCCATGTGTATGTCCTTCCCACGGAATCATCTGTCAGCTTCATTAAGGGGAATCCTTTCAAAGGGGGAAAAAAAACTAAAGCTGTTTGTGGCTGACTTAAAAGTAAGTAAATATTATTAATAATGATGTTTTGGAATGAAAGAGAAGGGAAAAGTAGGTATAAGCGCGGCTTCATCTCACAGTTAATAAGGAAGCAGGCGCACATGGGCTGAGAAAGGACGGAAGGATCATCCGGCTGATGCAATAAAACTTCAGGGCATCTCAGGGAAGCTGCACTCTGCTTCCAAAGCGCACTTTGAAGTTGCTGCAAACAGTCAGGGAAACTAATTATTTAGGCAATTTTAAAGAAGTTTTGTTGATGTTTACACTTTTAAAAAGTGTGGGCAATGCAGGCGGAGGAACATTTCCTTTTATAGGAGTGCGCTTCACAGCTGTAGCGCTGGCGGATGAACTCACATGAACCCAAAAAGGCGCATGAATGAAACTTCCTGTTCTCTGCTTTTATTTATTTATTTATAACAGCTCAGAAAATAGTGCAATTTTTTTTATAGATATATTTATGTTTTCTTTTTTTAACTTGGTATTCCTTTAGTGCTTCCCTATGGAGGACCAATTCTGCCATAAAATATATCATGCACATAAATAAAAAAAGTAACAAAGTTGAAGATAAAGGTAATTATTACAAAGGGGAATAAATGAACAAGCTAATTAAAAGAGATATATGCATTTATGTCTCGCTGTCTAATTTAATTTCTACCTACATTTATTTGTTTATTGTATTTTTGGGCGCAATTAATTAAATGCTTATTTATGTAGTGAGCATTTATTTATTTCTGTATTTATTTTTAAATATGGCAGAGTTGGTCCTCCATACTTCTCAGAGGCGGACTGTGGTTATTTGAGACCTGGAGCAGAATTTGTTTGCGGGGCCCTTTCTTTCGGTCCATGCTTGATGATATTTATATTCTGCTTTTAAGATGTTGATTTTACTAGAAGGGCAGCAGCTAACAATTATTTTGCTAATTGTTTAATCTGTCAATTATTTCTTTCAATTAATCGATTAATAATTTGTTGGCAAGAAGATTTTTTTAAAGGATTAAGCCAGGTGGAACTAAAGTTTTTCCACTTCAGGAGTTCTGGGTAGAGCATATTACCGCAGAAATAAAAAAAATATATCTTAAAGACAACATATTTATGTATTTTTATTTATTTTTTTTTGCAATTTTGGTATAATTAGGTCTACTGCTCTAAGTAGGTCAATCTGTCAGCTAAAGGCAACTTTTACAGTCTCTATACTCCAGTTAATGATTAATCATTACTAAATTAGTTGAAGATTATTTCAATAATCAATTAATCTGCTTCATTCTTTCAGCCCAATTTAATAGTAACAAATAAAACAAAACACTAATTTTGTAACTTTGTGTGTGTTTAGGCTTATCATCACTAATAGTTACATTCATTTATGTGATAAAATTAAATAAATATGCAACAAACAAAAACATAACCGGAGCATAACACAGATGTTGTCACTCAGTGATGGCATTGGGACTAGAAACAGCATAACTTTAGTACCGTAAGTTCCAACAAAGGAAAATGTAGTATTGTAAAGTAGGGAATGGAAACATGTAGCCCACTATAGATTTTTTATTTATTTTTTTCATGAGAAGCTGTAGGCTTTATTGCATTAAAGCCAAACAGTAGAAGGAGCAAGTTTGGATAAATTCTGTTTGTCAGGTAGGTTGGAGACCCAAGAACCGGCAAGCAACAGAATAATTTAAAAGAGCTGTGTTATCCCTTTACCTCATAAAACTCATCAAAGTGGGATACGTCATCATTTATAGGCTGCAGCAGTTCAAGAAATTACGATATTGCAACCTAAAAGTATACCTACAAAGCAACAATTACCGTAGTAACAAATATATTTTAATTGTCATGGTATTTTGGGCCTGCACAATATTGCAATTAAATTTGTCCTGATCTTGTGCAGGAATGTCAATGAGAGAATGAATTGACAAGATAAAATTTGAGAAATATAACAATTTTTTAAATTGAAATTCAGGATAAAATTCTATTACTATACCTCCTTATGAGTTTTTAATCAAAGTAAGATTGACTGTGTATTCTTCACAGAAATTCTAATTTGCAAAGGTTAAGGACAGGGAGGAAATAGTTCCTCAAAGAAACAAACTCTATGCAACCCTTTCAATGACTGTCTTGAGATTTGTCTAGAGTCCAGATTACATATTTAAAGATACAGTGGAGGATTTTGGCGAATTTTTGAAAAGACCTGTCCTTTCCACTTTAAAAAAAATGCGAATGCACAACCCTGTTCCCGCTCCCGAGTGAAAATATCCTCGTGCACGATCTGTCTAAAAGTTTCTGTTTGCATTGCTCATACAAGCTTACTATCCAAAAGAAGATTTGCAATTTTTCCACTATGTCAGACTCACCAACAGTAAGTGAAAAGGGCAACGACTACTTCAGATGGCCTTGCGAAAAACATATCACCAAAATGATTGACAATTAGGAGGACCACTTATTTTGATGATCCACCTGGAAAAAGAACATCCTCCACTATACATTTAAATCTTTCACTATATACAAATGTTTTGAGACCCAAAGTGTTACGTTTTCTTTAAAAAATTATATACCGTTGGTGTTTGATTCTTGTTTATTGATTCTTTTGTTGTCTTTAAAGTGACTATACAAACTGCTATGATGTTCAGTATTTATTTAACTTTAGAATCCAACACCATTTACTACAAAAAGGAGTAGGAAGAAAAACACAAAGTTCATGTTTTTTTCCACAACGTTTAATTAGGCATTGCAAGATTTATGAAATGAATGCAAATACATTCAAGATAATAATTAATCCCACTAATAAGCAGTGTGGCCACCTGCCAAGGCACCGTCAAAATTATTGTTCTCTTTTAATATATTCTTAGAGCAACGCTTGAGGCAGGGTCGTTAGCAAAAGGTCAGTTACTTATCAAGTGTACATGAGGAGATATGAGATAAACTTTCCACAAGTATTTTTTTTTTTATGTATACTTCTGCCTTGGAAAAATATGTTTGCTCCTTTAACTTTGTTTTACATCACAACTACTAACTCAAATATGTTGTATAGTAAATGTGTGTGGTAATCAAACACAAAGCTGTAAAATAAAACCAGCAGGAAAAAGGATAAATTATTTTTGTTTCTTTCTAGAAATTAAAATCTAAATAGTGTGGTATCTATTTGCACTCATCCTCCCTTGCTTTGATAAATTTTTCTCTGTATATGTTGATGTATCCATTGAAGGAGATGTTTGTCTGTTTTTATTTCAAGTCTTAAACCTTATATGATCGAAAACATACATTTTTTTTGTTAAAGACCATTCTAACTCACTGATATGCTTTAGATTGAAACTTCTTCCTTATATCTCTGGCTTGACATTTATGGTCGCTGACCTGGAGCGAGGTAAAGCTCCTCCCCCTTTTGCAGCCTAAAACATGTTTTCCCCCATGATTGCCCTAAATGTAGCACCTTTTATCTTCTGATGAAATTTGATGAGCTTCCATATCCTCAACAATAATGTTGGCACTATAATAATAGTGATGGTAATTATAATAGTTTTATTTGTGTAGCACTTCTGATGACATAGTGAGATGAAGTGAGAAAAGGGAACAGTTGGAGGAAAATCTAAAGAGATTTTTGTGTGGATCTTTAGTAAATAGGGTCAACAGTCCAGTGCAATCCAAGCCGGAAGCTGGTAACGCATGGAGAAAGATATCAGGTGTTTTGTGTTATAAGAGTATCAGCAAGAATGAAAGGAAAGATGTAAAAGACGGTGGTAAGATTCGGAAGGGGTGGACAATTTAGAGACAACAGCACTGAAAAGGAGACAGGAGGCGGAGCTAAAGGTAGCAGAGAGGATGATGAGGTTCTCTTTAGGAGCGAGAAGAATGAACAGGATCAGTGGGTCAGCTCATGTTGATATTTTGGAGATAAAGCCAGAAATGGTTTGGAAGTATGCTAAGGAGGGATAATTGGTAGATCCATAGAAGAATTGCCAGGCAGGAGGTCTAGAGGAAGACGGATGGAATTAAAGAGGACATGAAGGTAGTTGGTGTGGCAGAAAAGGATAGCACATCTCAAAAAACTACACTATACTGTTACTCCTAATGGATTGACAGTGGCGTTGGATGCGGGAGCTCGGCCTGTAACCGGGTGTTTGCCCCCCAGCTCCGGCTCTTGTGTTCCCTCTGGGAAAGACACTACCTACTGATGGCGTCAATGACCTCATGTATCTTGCTGGCATCAGTGTGGGAATCAGGGGTTTAGGGTTTTGTTCAGGAAACCAGAGTGGGATCGAACCGAGTACGCTCAAGCTTCTCAGAGCGCAAGCACACTGCTCTAACCACTAGACCAACACTCCCCTCATTTACCAAACACATGCATGACCCCTAATAAGCAGAAAACACAGGATAAGCACGTACCTATGTTAGTACCTTTTCAAGGAGAGGACTCCAAACTGCTTTAAACACACATTGACACTGATAGCAGCAAGCTTTACTGCAGCTCCAGCTGCCTTGGGGCTCAGTGACAGAAAAAGACGGCTGTATACAGGAGCCACCGGGCCCTCCGGCCACCATCAGTAGGCAAAGCGGGTAAAGTATCTTGCCCAAGGACAAAGAAAGTGAGAGCTGGAGCTACCCTCCATTTGCAGGATGCAATGTCGGATGTGAACTCCAGCATCCGACAGGGGTTTGCCCTGCAAGCATGAATAAAAATCAAACATTAAAAGCTGTTTTTGATTTTGATTTGCAAATTCTGTCATCTGGGTCATGTCAACCCATAAAACTGGCTTAAATTGGAAGCAACCAGACTTTTGTTCTGAAAAGTTTTCTAAACCTACCTAGGAGTTTTTGTCAACTGACAGACAAGATGTTTAAATATGTGAATCTATCTTTCATCTTGGGTTTGGCATCTGGAGCAGCAAGTTTCCATAGAGTTAGCCTGAAATCCGAAACCTAAAGCCGGCTCCAGCATGGCTTGTGACATAACATAAACATCATATTGGCTTTTTTTTTTTTTTTTTTTGGGGAGCAATGGCTTTATTTTTGCCATCCTAACGACGATTGGTTTGGCCAATATATTCTCTCTTTAGAGCTTGGTATTGCTGCAGCTCCTCAGTTATCACGGGCCTCTTGGCTGCTTCTTACTCTGCTTCCCATCTCGTCCTTCTGGCGACATCTTGGTAGATAACTTCCATTTATTTCCATTCCGGCATGTAGAACTGAGCACTGTAGTGTGAGTTTGTAATGTTTGACATTTGTAATACTGTTTTACAACCTAATCCTGACTGAAACTTAGCCACAGCTTTATTCCACTGCTTTTGGAGTTATTTAGGGGTACGAAGAAATGCAGACTAAATATAAATATGTGTCACACTTCCTGGATTAGTATTTGTAAAAAATAATTTCACGTCACACTTTTGCATTACTTTGTTGGTTTTTAAGATGAAGTTTGCAGTTTTAATGTTGCAGAATTTGGCAAAATTAAGAGGTATGATTGCAACACACAGTACATTGTAAAGTATAAGGGCGTGTTGGAATTTGCTTGAATCCAAAGCATAAACAGCAAAATAACAGTTTTGGTATGTCAATATTGCATCATCCGCCTGCTAGCCCTAAAGGCTGAGAGCCACAGGGCGGACCGAGTGTTTACACTGCTTGTCCACTCACATCCGCTCACTATGAATTCAAAGATCCCTGGCTGAACATCAGGTTTACATGAGGATAATTTAATGGGATGAATAATTAATTAGTAATTTATGCATGCTTTGCTGATCTGCTATTAAAAGTTCTTTATAGGTCTATCTGTGACCGTCAGTATAAAAGTCATTTCAAGGAGCTTATATTCATTGTGTCTGCAGGCAAACATTTAAAACCACGGGACCAACTGCTCCTCCAAGTTAATCCACATGCCGTTATGAGTCACCAGCACAGCGATTGGATGAGACGGGGGCAGGGGCCCTCTCCTCTCACCCGCCTTTTTTAGCTCAGCAAAGGCACGCCACATCATGTTCATTCTGCTGTGTGGTTTTGTTGTTAATTCTGAACCACTGACTCATCGTTACACCTCCTCTTTTTTCTTTTTTTTCTGGACGCGGATGTGGCTAATGATCTGGTTCACCAGCAGCATAGGAGGACATGCTGCATGTCAAAAAGCTGGTTCCAGTTTTGGATAAATGGGAAAGACTCACTGATAGTTTTCATTCTATGTACATTTTCTAGTGTCTATATTTGGCCTTTTTTCTGTTTGTTTTAGAAGCTGAATGCGGGTCAGAATAACAGTTCACTATGACCTGGGCACACAGCTTAAAATTGTTTGGTCTTATCTGAGGTTTTCTCAATGCTTGATGACAATACAGTTTTTACGTATCAAGAACAACATTTCCTCCTAATATAGCACACCAGTAAATGGCTTAGTGTTAAAGAAAAAATACCACAGTATATTTTTTACAGTCTCATTCCTGCCTGTGTCCTCAATTAAAGATGCATCACATAGATATCAAACTCTCTCTGCTTTGGTGGATCAAACCTTAAAAGTCGGACATCTAAATCCTCAGGAAGGTATTGTAAAAACTTATTTTAGACCAAATTAGCAGGATATTTAAAATCAACTTCCTATAGTCAAGCATTTGTTTGATATAAATCTTTAAAGGTGGCTGCTTTGAGAAGAACAAACAGTTAATTCAGATTACCTCTGCCTCTGTATGTTCTTGAAGTAGTTTAAAAAGGAAAGGGCGGGTTAGTATTGGCGTAATCACAGCTGCCCCTGATGCCATGTGATGCATCACTGTTCTATTTGTAAACCAAACACCTTGCACAGAAAAAAGGCGTCCTTAGTCACATGTCAGACCTATGGTGGTAAATGTCTGATCTAAAGATGGCGATGGTGATGTGCAGTCAGGAGAATTAATTTTGGGAGCATCAGGAAAGGCTGAGGATTCCATCTTGCTTAGTTGTTGAAGTGAAGTGAGTACTTTCTGGATCACTACTGTTGCTGATGTATTGTTTTAGAGGAAGGTTGAAACTAAAACTAATGTCACAATTATTTAGTCTAGGGCTGCAACTAACAATTATTTAGCAAATCGATTGAACATTTTGACGGAAAAAGCTTCCTTTATCTTTTTTTTTTTTTTTTTTTTTTACAATTTTAATAAAACTACTGCTCTAAGTGGGTTGATTTGTGAGCTAAAGGCATGTTTTACAGTCTCTATACTAAAACGATTACTAAAATAGTTGACGATTATTTCGATAATTGATTCATCGGATTAATTGTTTCAGCCCTAATTTATTTCATACTGTTGATACATATTCTGCCTACCTTACCAAACCATAAAAATTTAAATTTTCTTAATTTATTCCTTATTAATTGAATAAATTAGAGGTTTATAATTTTTTAATACCCAATATTTTGATCTACTTTCGTAGATGCCATCACTATTGAAAAGAAGCCTATTCAGCTTTTTGTTGGAACAGAATAAAGAGAGGTTATATACTAAATAACACTCAAGGAGCACCAAACTCACCACGCTTCTTCTTTTTAAGGTGTGTTCAGTCTAGATATGGTTTAGATTGACTGACGCAGCAAAGTTAAGCCTGATTGCAGTGTGATTGTTTAAATTAGCACAATAAACTTATGAGCCTCTTTCCTGGACTGGCCACTGATCGTCTGAATACATGCCATCGTAACTTTGCACTGAAAAAAAGGGGTAACATTTACTCTAGGTAACTTTTTCCACATAGAAATTATTTGAAAATTTCACTCAATAAAATCTAAGTTGATTTTACAAACTAAGACAATTTGATTTAACAAACAAATGCAAAAGTACATTTTACTACCAAATTTCTCTCATCAACAAAAGATTTACTTTTGTTTTGCTTGTAAATTAACAGTCATGTTTTTGGCATGTGGGAAAGCCGGAGTACCCTGAGTAGAACCCCTGGTGGTATCCATGGTCCATAAAACCCTGGGAATCGAACCCAGAACCGTTTTTGTTTCAAGGCCACAGTGCTACAAACTGTGCCCTCTGGATTGTTGTTGCAGCCACAAATTTCAATGCATTTTATTGGTAGTAGGGGAGTGGTGGCCCAATGGTTAGTGCATTGCGTTTGGGTTCTATTGGTTCTGAGTTCAAGCTCCACTCCCACAGACTGCCACTCTGCAAGACGCTTAACCCCCACACTGCTCCCTGCATGCCGAACAAAGGTATCCCACTGCTCGCCAAGGGGATGGGTTAAATGCAGAGTGAATTTCGTTGCTTTGTACTTGTGACAGTATAATGACGATAAAGTTGAATTCGAAATCTATTTTTGATTGTGGACCAGCACAAAATTATAAGACCAGATATTGTATTGTGTTACCAGATGTATCATATTCTGATCAACATTTCTGTTGTTTTGTCCAAAGGTATTTTTTCAGCCTTTTGGTGCTAACAAAGATGATTCTGGCCAAACTTAAAGACGTCGGGAAGCAGCTATTGCGGGTGAAGGTGGTGGACTGCAGCACAGAAGAGTCCAGGCTATCACGATGTCTCAACACCTTTGACCTGGTGGCCCTAGGTGTCGGAAGCACACTGGGCGCTGGCGTCTACGTCCTCGCTGGTGCCGTAGCCCGTGAAAGCTCTGGACCTGCCATCGTCCTCTCATTTCTCATCGCTGCCCTGGCCTCCGTCCTGGCCGGTCTTTGCTACGCTGAGTTTGGAGCCCGTGTTCCAAGAACTGGATCAGCTTATCTCTACAGCTATGTGACAGTTGGAGAACTTTGGGCTTTTATTACCGGCTGGAACCTCATCCTCTCCTATGTCATTGGTGAGGCTGTTAAAAAAATAAAACAAAACAGAAAATAAGAGTACACCGTCGTCCGTCTTAGTATTTGTTTTTTAATAAGCTGAATATTTCTCTGTGCAGGAACTTCGAGCGTGGCGAGGGCATGGAGCGCAACCTTCGATGAGCTGACTGGAAAGAACATTGAGACTTTTTGCAGAGAAAATATGAGGATGAACTTTCCAGGAGTCCTCGCAGAGTATCCAGACATCTTTGCTGTCTTAATCATACTTATTCTGACAGGTTAGAAACAAGCATTACTTTTCAGGATTCACACAAAGTAACGCTACGTTTTCAAAAATATGGAGCAGGATCTTCTCAGCATGGATTAGAATTTAGAATATAAAAATCTAAATTAAAAATTTTTGAATTGAATTTTTTCCTTTTATTTTTTTTCCTTTTTATTATTTCCATCCATCAGTCTATCCACCCTACTGCCCCTAATGTTTTACTCCTCGATTTGTACATAAACAACAGGCTTAAAACTGAAATAGAATAAGACACTTCAAGGAATCCTGTGGGTTTTTTCCCCCCCTTAATAATTATTCTTTTACCTTTTGTAGGACTGCTTGCTTTTGGAGTCAAAGAATCAGCAATGGTGAATAAAGTATTCACTTGCGTCAATGTGCTTGTCCTGCTGTTTGTGATCATCTCTGGATTGGTGAAAGGAAGCTTAAAAAACTGGAGCCTGGACCCTGATGAGATCCTTAACATCACTGCAAACACCAGCGTTAAGTAGGTTAAATAAAGATCAGTCTACCCGTAAGTTCATCTCCAGGGATCTGCGTAAGTAAAGTAATTTTTTTTTTTTGTACCTTCAGTACCTCGTTTTCCCTCCCTAAAAAGGAAACTCTTGGTCAAGGCGGCTTCATGCCTTTTGGTTGGACAGGTGTCCTCTCCGGTGCTGCCACCTGTTTTTATGCTTTCGTGGGGTTTGACTGCATCGCCACCACAGGTGAGGACGAATCCATTAACACCGGTAGTGCCTGCATGAGCCCTGTTAGCTGACATATCCTATTTGTTTTTGTTTGTTCCCCCCTCAGGAGAGGAGGTGAAGAATCCCCAGAGGGCCATTCCCATTGGCATAGTGGCCTCTCTCCTCATCTGTTTTGTAGCTTACTTTGGCGTTTCGGCGGCTCTTACTGTTATGATGCCGTACTACATGCTGGACAAGAACAGCCCTCTTCCAGTGGCCTTTAAGTATGTCGGCTGGGAGGGAGCCACTTATGCAGTAGCCATTGGCTCTTTATGTGCTCTGTCGACCAGGTAAGTGGGTCTCCTACTGCCTCTCAGCATGAGAAGCCACAGAGGGCGCGTAATTGTTCAACAGGAATCTTTAGAAATGAATAATTCATTTTAGCTGCACTGAGTTGTGAATTCTTTTACATATTTTTTTACTTACTGTTGGCCGATGAGCTGCAGTTAAAACACTGTAGGTTGGAAAGAGTGGGGTTTATTATGAGGCAGGTCACAGATACAATTTTTTTAATATTATTTTGATCAAACATGCAGATAGATTTATGAAGTTATTCTGGTTATGAAATGATATTTAACTATTTTCATGTTTCATCCAGGCCTTCCTCTATCTGTCTGAATGGTACTGTAACAGACTTCTGTGTTAAGATAATTTGCTTCAATCAAACAATTTTTGTCACAGCTTAGAAAATAGTTATCATTGTGAATCTGAGTTAGATTGAAGCCCTTAAATCTCCAAATTCATTTTTAATGATTGGCTTTAGAAAAAAAAAATCACATATAGGGATAAATGTATAGAGTTAGAAAGCCAAGTAGTGCAGCCTAGAAAATATATGCCTTATTTTGAGAACAATTGAATTGTAATTCAAGGTCAGTTAAAAAATAAACACAAGAACTCCTAGAGACGTTATTGGAGCACTGTAGCTCCAGATTTAAAGCACTTTACCCTGTGCATGTTTTATGTTTACATGATGTAACAACAGAAACATTTAAAACATTTCCCAGTCCAAAAGATGCACCAATTCATTAGAGGTGCAATCTAGAAATGAGTCAAAATTTCTTAAGTTACTCTTAATTTCAGTTGGTAAAGATGATTTGCCAATTAATTGAGTATTTTTACTCTTAAAAATAAGATAATTAAATAATATGCACTTGAAATAAGACAATGCGATTGTTTTTTTTCTTATTCTAAATGTAAATTGTCTTGTTCTATTGGCAAGGTCTAACTTACCTCCTCAATTCAAGAAAAAATGCACTTATTTTAAGAAAAAATTACTTCTATAGATTTCTATTTTTTTGCACTGACAGGCCTGCATATAGAATATAGGTTTCTGCTGTGTCATAAAAAATGCTCTCATTAAATGCTTTTTTTATACAAAAAAAATACATTTTTATTTCACCACTGAAATCTGAGCTTTGTGTGTTTTAATTGACATTGCATGTTGGTTTTTCTTTCTCCGTAATAGTTTGCTTGGTTCCATGTTCCCAATGCCGAGAGTGATCTGGGCCATGGCAGACGATGGCCTGCTCTTCAAATGTTTGGCTAAACTCAGCACACGAAGCAAAACCCCGCTAACTGCCACAGTAACATCAGGCATAGTTGCAGGTGAGCTCACATCCTAAACTCACTAACTGAATGAAAGCTGCAGAACCTGCAGACCAGTATCCTCAGGACCTACTAACATGAAATGCAGCACAAAGGCAGCCGACCTTAGTTTCCACCACGCTGACACTCTCTGAGCAGATGCTCTGTTGGGCTTAGAATGAATGAGAGCTTGTGGAAGCAGCTAAGTTCTTAATCTTCTCCTCCTTCCTTCATCTGTGGCTCAGCCTCTTTGGCTCCATGTTTCGTCTGCCACGCATTATCTTTGCTATGGCTCGTGACGGTGTGATGTTCTCCTTTCTGGCTCATGTCAGCGGGAGGAAGACGCCAATGGTCTCCGTCTTGGTGGCAGGGCTTATCGCTGCGTCTCAATTCGCAGGCTGCGTACTTCCGAGGACGCAGCCTACCTAGCCTCCGGAGGACCCAGACTTGGTAGGCTGCTCCGGAGGATCCTCAGCCGTTGGTAAATGGGACGGTCTAGCCTTTGGAGCACTTCCTGGTTGCGACACGACGTCATCACGTTTACCCCAAACACAGCGCGAAACAAAATCCGACAGCTCGAGAAATACGGAAAGAACCAACAAAAAAATAGATATGGAAATTTTTATTTTTTTTTATTTACTTGTTATTGGAGGAGGAGAGTCGCTTTGACGGCTTCGGCGGCAGCAAAACCTGCGACGGATTTTTCTCAGGCTGGCAGAGCGCAGCGGAGAGGTAAGATCTACCTGCTATTATTCTAACCCACAGGGCCTGCTAATGATCAGAATATACCAGTTATTAAATAAACGCTTGTCAGCAGATTGATGAATAGGTTTAAATATCAAATTTTATATTTATTTGTAAGTTTGTGATTTATTTGTTTGTAACTTTAGTAAATTGAATTGAATAGTTAAATGTGTACAAACCCTGTAAATAACTGACTTAAATCACTACTTTTACTATCACTAATGTTGTGTTGAGAAGCCAAACTGTTGAGAAATAAATCATTTTTGTCTAAATTGTTATCCCCTTACTGCCTGATTTTTTATATATATATATATATATATATATATATATATATATATATATATATATATATAAACATAATACAGGGGGAAAAAAATCAAAATATAAAAACGAAAAAACTAAGTTAAATAGTGGATCTAGATGAAGTAAAATGTAATTTCTAATAAATCATGTAATAAAGATAAGGAAAAAAAGATAGATGACTGAATAAAAATAAATATTTTTGTCTTTTTTTTTCTACAGGTCATAACAGCCCCAGAGGATGAAGAGCAGGACGACATGCCAGAGGATGAGGAGGGGAGAACGTGTAGGAGGCAGTCAGTGGTGCTCCCTGGCGGGGCAAGCTGTCTGCTGAGGTGTCTGCCCTGGAGGAGGGTCTACCTGACCACCGTTACATTTAGATGGCAAGTAGAATCACATTTTAGCTGTTCTTATTTAAGGGTTATAAAAACAGTTTTAGTAAAGTCATTATTTTCTGCGTCTTCTTGAACATTTTTAGTAACATGGCAGCCATCGATTGGATCAGCAGTGGAGAGAGGCACCCCCACCCCCCAGATGATGTCCCACTCGCAGTCAGAAGACTCCAAGCTCATCTGTGTGGCATCCCATCCAGTCCAGCAGCCCCACCAGGGACTCCTGCTCAGTGACAATTATATATATATGTTCTCTAGTAATATTTACTGTATATCTTCTGTAAATAGTTGTAGTAGTTAATTTTAAAATCTAATGTCAATAGTTAAAAATGTTTTTAATAGTTTATTGTAAATACTTGCTTCTCTAAAAATAAACTGATGTCACTGAGAAGTTGTTCTAAGTTTACTTAAATTAAAAAGAAGTGATGAAACAGATCATGTAAAAAGGTTAAAAGACTTTAAGAACACACCGACAGCAATAACTTTTATAAACAATTTAATAATTTAATTTAACCATAACAGCAACACAGAACTTCAACTTGTTAAAAAAAAAAAAAAAACACCAAAAAAATAATAACATCTGTCCACCATCCTCTCCAATAAATGAAATAATCTGTCCATCCTTTCCCGCCTCCCTCTGCCATCTCATCTCCTCCCTGATTAAATCCACCAACTCGTCACTCCTCCTTCTTCTCTTCCTCCTTTCCCTCCTCCCTCATCCTCATTCTCTTCCTCATCTTCACCCTGATGCTGCTCTGCCTCTGCAGCATCTAGCCCTGGTGTGTCCTCAGGGATGGAGGCAATTAGGACAGGTGGGGTAATAGAGGGCCTCTGTCCTAATACCTCATCCATGAGGACAAACCAGGGCCAGGTGGCAGCAGTAGGATTCCCACTGACCCCCTGCCCTGTCCAAGGATCTTTGCATTCCTAAAGTAGAGGAAAACTATTTGTATCAACAGATGCTATTTTCTGTAGTGTTTCTTTAAAGCTAGAAAAAAGGAAGGTTTCATGATTTGGATGGATTAATGAAATTCTACAGAAAAAGACTTTGGAATGGTAACCTGGAGATTACTTTTTCAAGCTTACTCAAAGTGTAAATTAACATGAAAATAATAAATGAAAGATGTAATTTCCCTACACATACCCATATACATACATACATACTTACAAAAAGTGGCATCTGAGCATCATTTGATGTGATCAAAAGATTATATTTGTACGTTGGTGTTTGAACAGGACTTATTTTAACCTGTGTGACTTTTACATAGAAATGCAACATGTAGATGGAATTCTGCCTGAACTCTTCCCTCCATCCGCCTGCAGCAGTATCTTTGGCCCCGATGATAAGGTGGTCATTTTATCCACTCCTCTGTCTGCTCCCTGGAACCAAATGACATGTAAAGCATATTTCTGTTATGTCAACAGGCAAAATGACTGTTCTGTATAATTACGCCTGTATTGTTCTTCAAGCGAATTATACTTTAAACCTTATTATACTGTACTGTAAATAAACTATACATTATTGAGTATTAAAACAAAACGTTTGCAGTATTAACAGCCCAGTACAGCTGGACTAATGTTATTTCTTCAGCTGCATTAAGCTTTAACAGTTCTAATCCTTTGTAATAAACTGTTTGAGAATAAATAGATCCGATTAGTGAGGGATACGGCTATCAGTACAGTAAGATGTAGGTTAAAATAAAAAATAGTGACATTTGTATGAAGGCTTTTAATTGTTGATGAACATCACGTATCAACAGGTTAGCTCTAAGCTTTAGTTTTAGCTGCTCCTACACATTCCGGTGGCTCCGTTACCGTCATGTATTTTAATAGATGTTCATTAAAAAAAAACAAAAAAAAAACAAACTACTTACATTTAAAGGTGTTCTCCGCACTACTGTCGGCGCTGCTGCTGCTTTCGGTTGTCCGTAACTTCAAGAAAATCCGACTTTCTTCTTCAACTACTAAAAAAAAAAAAAAAAAAAAAAAAAAAAAAAAAGCGCGCAAAGCACCTCGGGAAATCTAGTGGCAGGCGAGGCCACTAAGGATGGTAGCGATGCATCCTCAGAATTCGGGGAAAAGGAGGACGCATTTTGAGGCTGCATTTTAAGCGTCCTCAGAATTTTTGCCAAATGGGACGGCCTCCGCGCAGCGTTGTGACGTCACCGGCCTCAAAATGCGTACTACCAAGTACGCAGCCTGCGAATTGAGACGCAGCCTATGTCTGGTAGGTAGCTGAAACAAAGCTAAAGGCAATAGTGCCCCCGTGTGGAAGGAGGAGGGTTTGGGGATTAAGAAAAAAATCCCACAAGTAAAAGTTTGCCAGTTATTTGCTATATAAGGTCTCTATTTAACAGTATGTGTTCAGTGTATATTAATATTTCTTGTGCATTTTGAATCTCTTAGTTTGCGAAAGAAAATGTTCCTCCTCTGTTCCCTGCAGCTGTGATGGCGTTCCTGTTTGATTTGAAGGATCTGGTTGACCTCATGTCTATCGGCACTTTGCTTGCCTATACTCTGGTTGCTGCCTGTGTGTTGGTGCTCAGGTAATTGTGTTTCTCACCATATTGTTTCAGTAGACATATTGTCTAAACCAGTCATAGTGGCTCTATACTTTGAGAGGGCTGCTTGTAAGTTCTCTGAATGCAGGACAAATTAAAACCTAGAAGGTTGGAAATAATCTGCACAGTAGAAATTAACTAGACAGGTTGACCCAATATTATTGTTGCACTAAGTACATCTGAGTCTATATGTATATTTCTGAACTGATCCACAAGAAATCAGAAGAAGCCTGAAGTAAAGTGATATAAGTTCCTTTGTTTGAGGTTTATAAATTTCACTTCAGAACTGTAGCTCTCATCCTCACCTTATGAACTCCGCTCGCTTCTTATGTGAAGGTACCAGCCTGAGCAGCTGAGTACCGCCTATGAAATGGCCAACACCCAGGATGATGCAGACATTTCCGAGTCTTACATAGAAGGGAACTCTGACATCTCTCCTCAATCAGAGGATACAGCCAGCATCAAGAATCTCTTGTCCCCCTCCAACCCTGAGCCGTCTCCCATGTCTGGTCGTACCGTCAACATCTGCACCAGCATACTTGGTAAGCTTCTTTCAGTCTCTGAATGATTCATGTTCCACCAGCCCAGAGCATGACATGGTGGGATCCTTTCTTTCCCTCCAGGTGTTCTGGTGTGTGTTTTCAGTGTGGTGGCTGTTCAAGGAGGAACGGCCCACTGGTCTGTGTCTCTGCTGATCGTCATCATGGTGGCCTGCTTGCTTCTCACATTTATTGTATTCAGGCAGCCTCAAAGCAAAGCCAAGCTGGCCTTTAAGGTGAGTCTAAACTCTATGTATTGTTTTCTTGCTTTTATTTTCTCTCATGCTGTCCCTTCCAAATGTATTCATAACCTTTTAGTTTTTTTTTTACCCTATTATATCAAATGTCTGCAGGAACAGACCAAGAAAAAGCACAGAGGTTAGGGATAAAGTTATGCAAAAGTTAAAAGTATGGTTAGGTTTCATCCATCCATCCCCTCCCGCTTATCCGGGGTTGCGTCGCGGGGGTAGCAGCTTCAGTAGGGAGGCCCAAACGTCCCTCTCTCCAGTCACATGGGCCAGCTCCTCCGGGGGATCCCAAGGCGCTCCCAGGCCAGCCGAGAAACATAGTCCCTCCAGCGTGTCCTGGTTCTCCCCCTGGGTCTCCTCCCGGTGGGACGTGCCTGGAACACCTCACCAGGGAGACATCTATGAGGCATCCTAACCAGAAGCCTGAGCCACATCAACCAGTTCCCCTCGACTTGGAGGAGCAGCGGCTCTACTCTGAGTCCTCCCTGGATGACTGAGCTAATCCCTATCTCTAAGCGAGAGCCCAGACACACTATGGAGAAAACTAATAATCTTGTTCTTTCAGGTATAAAGCAATATTCCCACAGTAGAGCACTGTTTGCTCCATTAGCTGTAAATAAAAAACAGTACTTAGTCAGAGAAGAACCAAGAATCTCTGGTAACTTCTGGTTCCACATGCCACAAATTCAGGTTTAATAAAAGCAGTTATTTGTTTGCTAAAAGTAATGAAGGAGACTATTTAAACATGTGGAGTAAGAGGTTCAGATCAAATCAACTTAAAATTAACCTTTCTGGCCTAAATATATAAAATATGAAAAACATTGCAACGCACGAGGCCTAACAAACAACCTTATTGGAGCAGGGTGGTGACAGCATCATACTGTGGGGATTCTTATTCCAATACTGGGAAGCAGCTTTAAGTTGATGGGAATAAATAATGAAAAAACCTGTTTGGTTGTAAACAAATAAGACTGGGGCAGAGGTCCACTCTCCAGCAGGACTGGATCCCAAAAAATACAGCAACAGGAATAGTTTAGATCAATGCATATCTTTGTGTTACAATAACCCAGACTTAGAGTTAACAGAGAACATGCAACATTGTCTTAAAACATGCTGTTTATTGATATACCCCTAACCTGGCTGACTTTGAGCTGCTTTGTCCAGAACAAAAGCCAAATTTTCCCTCCATAGATTTGCAATGCTGGTTCAAAAAAAGGATTGCCTCAGGGAAGAGGGGGTGCAGGTGAATACTAATACCCTCTAACATATTTCAGGCTTTAAAGGAGAAGTTCGGTTTTTTACACTTTAAGCCCATTTTCTGTAGTGTCCAGGATGAAATCGAATGATCGACACCAAACTTTTGACAATTGGTCCTGTCTCTGCTTTTTGGCTCATTTAGAATCACCCCCTGGCTGCTTTAGAATGGCTAGCATAGAGCATGTCCGATAATGTCCTTAAAACAACCTTAAACGTTCTTTTTTTAAAATATGCTACTCACCGGGTCGTCAGCGCTGTTCAATGACGTTCCAAAAAAAGTTTCGTAAAGAAAAAACGTTCCTGTAGTGTTTTATTTAGCATTTTGTAAATCCCATTGAGTTCTGTAGGAATAGTCAATATTCCCCTGCCACCGGAAACGGAAATGGGGCCTGTTTACACAGTTGTAGTCTTTTCGCTTCACTCTGTGTACTCCGACGTCGAGGTGCTAACGTCTCTGTTAAACACTTTAAAAAACTCTGAAAATGGAATACGAAAGGTGGATTCTTGATTCTCGACGTCGGAGTACACAGAGTGAAGCGAAAAGACTACAACTGTGTAAACAGGCCCCATTTCCGTTTCCGGTGGCAGCGGAATATTGACTATTCCTACAGAACTCAATGGGATTTACAAAATGCTAAATAAAACACTACAGGAACGTTTTTTCTTCACGAAACATTTTTTGGAACGTCATTGAACAGCGCTGACGACCCGGTGAGTAGCATATTTAAAAAAAAGAACGTTTAAGGTTGTTTTAAGGACATTATCGGACATGCTCTATGCTAGCCATTCTGAAGCAGCCAGGGGGTGATTCTAAATGAGCCAAAAAGCAGAGACAGGACCAATTGTCAAACTTTTGGTGTCGATCATTCGATTTCATCCTGGACACTACAGAAAATGGGCTTAAAGTGTAAAAAACCGAACTTCTCCTTTAAGTTGTGAAACATTTTTAAGACCTTTTCCTTCCAGCTGTTATGGTCGAAGACATTTGTTTTGCTTTTTAGCTGCCAATTCCTCCCTTATAAAATCCAAGTTGTCAGCTAATCTAAATGCTATTGATCAATTTGAAGAATCTTTTTGGTTTTTATCTGCATGTTAATGAAATCAGAATCCTTGCTTCAATATTAAATCTATTTCTTTTTTTGCATTAAGGGAATAAAACCCTGAAAAATGAAATTTCGACCAGCTTTATGGCAAAGACGTAATTAACAAATGCAATATTTATTTTTGCCTTTCTTTCCCACAAAACTTTTTTAAAACTAATATCTTTAAGCACGAGGATTTTTAAGATGATTCTTACATCTAAGGTTTATTGGCTACTGTGTTCTTACAGTTATAAACCCATAGTTTTTTCAGTGCAGCTTCAGTATTAACTCATACAACTTGATTTTTTTATAAGCTTATTAGGACATACATTTGTTAGATACTCATAATACATTTTGTGGTAAGGATTAGAGCACAGGACTCGTCTTCTTGTGCTTGCTCCCTGGTTAAAGGTAATATTAATGGAGGCACTTTCTACACATTGTTTTAATCCTTCCTCCTGGTCTTCTGTGATCAGATGCAGGTTTTGATTTTTAACTAAGTAATCGCCTCTCTGAAATGTTTTCCTTTCCACTCACAATCTTTCCAGCTGTTTGTGTACGATCACTGATATTTTCTTTGTTGTTTGATGTTAAATTTGTACGATTCACGTTCAAGGTTAAATGTGACCCCCCAGAAAAATGACAAGTGACGCTCAGTTCAAGATCGAAGAGAGTCTAGCTGCAGAATTGCACTGTTGCTGAACGTCACTGTGAGGTGTCCTCTGTGTCCCAAACTGAAGTTTATTTGAATCCTTTCAAAGTAAAAGGGAAATAAAATAAAAGCTAGCTATCTAATAGGATGCAGTTTATTACTTGGCATATAACAGAAAATCAAACCTAGAAGACAGCAAGACAATTTTCTTAACTAAACTCTTATTTATATGTAACTTAAGTTCAGTTTTATAATGCTTTATTAACCTGATCATAAGTTACAATTTACTTCTTAAGTCGTTCGTAGGTGGTGGCCAAGAAGACTTAGACAGATTTTATTTTGTCATTTTGAATACACAAGTGTAAACAAAAAGAAATTTTGTTAAATACAATACAAACTGTTATGTGGTAACCTAACCTAATTACCCACCAAAAGTCTCCAGTGTTACACATAAATGTACGATTGTAATAATTACATACAGGTAATTACTTTGAAATTATATACCTTAATTTTGGGGTGATTACCAAATTTTTTTCTTGTTACCAAGTAATGTAGTGTGACTTGCTATGTTATTACCATGTTATTACCAAGTTCTTTTATGAAGATATATCTAATCTGTGTTTACAAGTATTGTATTTTATATTCTTTATTCTTTTAGTATTTTTTGCGTCTTAGCTAGGTGACTGTTGGAACACATAGATTTGCCAATGGTGTGTGATTTCAAATTAACTTAGCTTTGTGTACTCACAGTAAATTACTGAATACCTAGATACATGACCAAAATAGCCTGTAACTTATGTTTTTTCCCCACAATACTGGAGAAAACAGTAGACAGAATAAAAAACTTAAAAAAAATTTTTTTTTTTATTTGCAAGTGCTTTTATTGTCAAAATAGCAGATTGCACAGCATCATATTGAAACATACGGTACGTCAATAAGAGACGGATAATGTAATAAGTAAAAGAAAAAAAAATATGATAAAACATGGCTTTCTTGGTCTTTAAGTGGGGAAAAGGCAGATTTAAGTGTGCATTCGCCTTCCAAAAAAAATATGTCTTCTTCTTCTAATAAAATCAGGCTACGTGCTATTCCTGAAGGCTTCGATTAAAACGCCCAGAATAAACTTCCGTTCTTGACAGTGCAGGAGGCCGTATTGTGCAGGTCTGCAAGGAAGGCTCCCGGCAGTGCAGGTCTGCAGCCAGACCCCTCTGTTAAGATCTGGCTATAAATCACACTAGATTTCAAGAATGAAACAGCTATATTTTTGTTTTACATTTGCTGAGAATTTAAACTTTATTTAACCAATAAAGATCTTAATTCTCAATTATCATGCAGATAGCTAATTTTCCTAAGGTATTCTGCTTTGCTCACTGATTTGCTCTCTGCCTACATGAATTCATTCCTCCACTACACTTCATAAAAAAAATAAAAAAAAGACGTTTATATTGGGAAAAGGATTTCAATGTTAACCTCTTGAAATGAACATTCTCTCCTCAGGTTCCCTTGTTGCCCTTCATTCCCGTCGTCAGCATGTTTGTCAATGTCTACCTGATGATGCAGCTCGATAGAGGGACCTGGATACGCTTTACCATCTGGATGATCATAGGTACTTTAGTTCAATAGCAAAACATTTTTTTTCAGCTTTTATAAAAAGAAGCTGACCTCTCTAAACTATATTCTCCCACAAACTGCAGGTTTCATCATCTACTTCGGGTATGGGATTTGGAACAGTTCAGAAGCAGCTTCCAACAGGTCTGACATCTTCCCTCCCGCCTGCTCGATAAACGGAGAGCCGATGAGCCCAGAGAAGGAGTCTTTCCTGCACAACACGGCGAGCTGCACCCCAGACGGCGACGATTGATGAGGATAACGGAGAAGTTTATATCTACTCTTGAGATTTTCTGCAGCAGCAGCAGAGAAATAGCTATGCATGCATCCTTGTATGACTGTTTATAAAGTTAGCCATTTGCAAACTGGCAGTGTGCTAACATGACAAACACTTTCAATGGCATATTACGCGGGGGAAAATGAGTTAGAGCTCAGAGAATCAGAGCCGCATCTTTTAATGTTTGTTTACTGTGAACTGTAGAAATTAGAGCCAGAGTTCTGTTAGAGCACCTAACACACACAGGTGCTTCGACTTTGGAGCTTTTGCATTATTTTATGTTACTTAAAACATGACAACTGTGTGAATATTTTGTACGTCACTTTGACATCTAGTGAGAGCAGAGTCTTTCCTGGGATGGTCTGCTCTATTTTAAGCATTTATTTCGTTTATCTTTGAAAAAAGTTTGTTGAATGTAAAGCACATACATATGTTGTTTTTAACAATGGCAATTTGCATATTTTCTCTGATACCAGCAAAGCTGCTAATATGGAGTTTTTAGAAGTCAGATACTTGAGATTTATTTTATGTGCTCATTTCCTAAACAAATTTTACACCCTTAAAGGTGGCGTTCATATAACACTAAATACTTTTTTTTGTGAGGCATAAATACATTTTTTGTCTGTGTATATAACGCACATTTTAAATTGCCAAAGTCTGCTTTTAAGGAATACGGTGAGTTTTACATTTTTGGACAATTTTTACTAGATAATGGAGAAAAGACATTTTGAATATTTTATGATAGCATTAAAAAAATATCCTGTTTTTTTTTTTCTCTCTCTCTAATGCATTATAGCAACCTTAACAGTTAGAAATGTCCCTATAGATATCATTTGTGCCTCATACAGTCATTCAAATACAGTATAACATTCGCCCAGTCCAGTGCTGCATTAACACCGATGCCATGTTTATGTTTGAAAATATAGTAGATTTTAATTGCAGCTCAATAATTAATGAATGTGATCAATAATGCATGGTTTACATTTTAACTGTGACTGTTTAACTCACCCGGCCATGATGCTCTGGTCTATGTGTTATCCAGTACTGCTTGGGTTGAAACCAGAATGAACTGGATCAGGGTATCAGTTGTTGAGTTTTGTGTAAAATTGCCTGGGGTCCGAACGGGACGTCCCGAATAACAACGTACCTCAAGCAGATTTATCTTGAATATAAAAGCTCCTGGGTGAGCGTGTGGATGTGTGTGTGTTTAAAGATCCACCTGGCAGCTCAAAGCTTAACGTTATCTATCAAGATGTTTATTTGTTGACTGAAAAGGCAACTTGGTGAACTATGTCCTTTAAAAATATCCGTTTTAAATCCTTGAATGGAATCGTCTGTAAGCGTGTACATGAATTAAGCTGATGTGAGATTTTACTTGGGTTCTGTTGTCTGACAGTTAGTGAGTTAAATCGGTTCCAACTTAGAAGGTTGCTCTATTTATTAACATAGCGTGCTGACCTTTCTCACAGGGACACTATACCGCCTTCATGTATGATAATAATCAGTGTAAATAAAAGTCGCAATGGATGTTCAGTATGATTGTGCGTATTTGAGTTGTTTTAATCTGTTTTGTAAATACCAGTAATTTACAAGGTTATGCCACATTTACAAACTTAATTTGGATTGTACAAAGTTTATTTTTTCTCTTTATAAATACTGCTTTTAATTTGAAGAAGATGTTACAGTCTTTAAGGTTTATGTGACAAATTAATCTAAGCTCACTACCTTTTCAAATGGTGCGGATAAATAGTATATGTGCAAACGTGAACCCAGATTTCATCCCTGCACGTACATTTCCTTGCTGGATTGTGTTTTTACCATGGAAGCATTATACAAATATTCAAACTGTATTTTTAATTGAGCTGCTTTTGTTCTGTTTCAACCATCTCTTGTTCTCTTTGTTGTGGTTTATTTTGTTGTTTCTGTAAATAAATATTGGGGAATGTCAAAATGTGAAACTTGTTTGCATTATATTTTTCACCTATCCATGCATATACGCTGCACATTTTCTGAAACCGAGATTTAGGATATGCAGGTAAAAAATGAAGTCAGTGTCAAAGTAGCTAAGTGATATTTAAATCTGCTTTTTGTTTTTTTGATTTTGTGCTTTGTAAGATATTTGTTTTTTCCCTCTTTTAAGACAGAGGAAAGTTTATTTAGTCTGTTAAAAAGGATCTTAGTATCTTCCAGCTGCAGGAACGTCTTTCATATTTTTCATTTGTCAGCTTTTTCCCTCACTTTAGTGGAGTAATTCAGGATTTCAAAGGAATGCTCTTTTATAAAATCTGTTTCTTTATGTAACTCACGTAACAGACAGCAATAGTCCAGGGATGGACAAGTTTGTTGTGTTCCACACAAAATTATTTAGTAGACCGTTCAAACTTCTTCACATTTTCTCACATTACATTAAAACGGGGAAGGAAAAAATAAGCATCGTTTTTAACTCTCTGATTACAACCAAAAATATTAATGAGATTTTATTCGATAGACAGGAGTGCAAAATAGCAAAAAAATTAAGAAGTAAAAGAGATGTTTTGAAGTGTTTTAATGGTAATAATTGGACAGTGCACCTGCAAGATGCTTCTAATAGAATGAGTCACAATAAAAATGCTATTTCAGCCACAGGCAATTTACTCAAGGATTAAAAAAATATCAATTTCCGATTTATTCTTCTTTTCACTCTGTTTTTTAATAAGCCCAGATAATGACTAATATGTCAATAAGTTCTCTCAGCCAAGCAAATAATCTGCTGCCAGCTTCTCTGTTCTCTTCTCTATACCTTTATTTAAGGGTGTGATTTGCAGGGTTATAACCCCTCCAAAACTCTGATGCTGCCAATTTAAATGATATCACATTACTGCAAGTTACAAAGATATCTTGCATTAATGATGTGCTGATTTTTTCCCCTCTTTGCTAAAAACTTGGTATGCATCCCTCAAGCTGTTCTCTCTACCTAACTTTCACCATTTGCTGCCATGTTGATGCAGTTTGAGTGATTGTAGTTGAAAAACATGAGAGGGACGCCAGAACACAGATGTTTTGTTACTGGTTGAAATCAAGCCCTTGTCATTTGAGTACTATTATTAAAAAGTTAATATGACTTATTTTACAAAAGGAAATTATTCACATAACATATAACAGAAAAGCTTAACCCTCCTTTTCAATCTGAAAAAGTCATATGAAGAGAAAGGACAATTAGGATAAATTTATTGATACAATTACTTTGACTTTGGCGCTCAGACCTCGGCAGGAAACATAGCGCTGAATTTTGATAGATATGCATGAACAGGAGCAAAGAATAGGACTGTTTCCCCCCAGGCCTGAAACTGGTGGTGGAGTGGAGATGGATGAAGTTGGTCATTCGGTAGACTACTGGTTAGGGAGACAGTATGCTGAGCTTTATGGGGAGATCCAGTGGATTGCTTGAGCTGATACTAGAGCTTCACTCAGGGACCTGGAAGATGGAAGTCCAGTTGGATAACACAGGTTGAGAGAACCTGTCCATGATGAGCAAGCATGGAGCGACAGTGGAGAGGAAAAACTCCCCATTGGGAAGAAACCTCTGGCAGAACCAGACTCAACGTGGCGGTCTTATGCCGGACTGTTTAAGATGAGACAGGGAATGCAGAAAGAGTCCAGGAGGAATGACACTCTGATGAAGCTTTAGCTACGATGGTGGAGGAGGGCCTGGAAGTGGGTTTAAATGGCGTTATCTGAAGGAAGTCACACAGCGCATCTGCCGCCTGCACACTGGAGCAGACAAGTGGATCCGAGGTCTTTTAAAATTAACTTAAGATGCAGATTGGCTTTCATGGAGGTTTGGTTCAAAGCTGATTGGCTGTATCTCAGCTGCATGTAGGAGAGCAATCAGTTTCTTCAGTTGAACTTCCACCTAAAGGCTCCATGTTAGACCTAATGTTATACCTTTGACTTTATCCCAGACCTGTCTGCTTTGTTCCTTGGTCCTCTTTACACTGAGTGTTCTTTAAGGTCTCTCTGAGACCTTTACAGAAAAATCTCCAATGGTTTAAAGGTCACCGGTGGTTAAACACAAAACATCACATGCGTGACTAAAAAGGAGCAGAATGGTAAAGGAAGAAGAAAGACAAAAAATAAATAAGGTAATTATTACAAAGGCAAATAAACAAAGAAGCTAGTTCAAATATATATATATATATATATATATATATATATATATATATATATATATATATATATATATATATATATATATATATATATATATATATATATATATATCACTGTATAATTTAATTTCTACCTACATTATTTGTTTTACTGTATTTTTGGGGTGCAATTAATTGTATGCTTTTTTCTGGAGCATTTATTTATTTCTGTGTTTATTTTTAATTATGGCAGAATTTGGCCCTCCATACCTCTTCCAGTAGTGTGAAATAATGAACAAGTAATTACTGACTCGGACCAGCAGGTGGCGACATAAGCTCACCTTGGTCTGGCGTCACCGCTCGTCTTCTCACCTCCTCCTCCTCCCTGTTTTCCAGCAGTCCTGCAGATTGATTCCTCTCCATGAACACTACATGCTTCCCTTCATCTCCATCTCTGCAGCGCTCTTCAGCAGAGGACCTCCACATTTAAACCTCTATTGCTCCTGGAAGACAGCAGGTGTATCCTCCCTATCTCTCTGCCTCTCTCCTATGGAATAAAATGGATTTATGAAGAAACTGCAGCGGGTGAGCCTCTTGTGGTTCTGTTTAAAATTAATTAATTATTTTTCTTAAGGTGGCAGCTTGATTGTAGTCTGAAATAATGTCTCCTTCCTGCAGGTGTGTTTATCCTGATCCAGATCCATGTTTTTCATCCATATTTTGCATGCATGTGCAATATTCCTCCTTCCTTTCTCACTTTGGGGTGATGACTGTAGATGCTCTGTGTTATATTTAGAAAAATGGACAGCAGCAGCATGGGAGGAATGAGAATGATAGTCAGCTGCTTTCATTTCCCTATTTATTCCAGATGTGACTGGCAGCAGAGTGGGAATATTGCATCTTTGAGATTTGAGAGCTATGTTGATTTTATATTTACCTTTATCAGCTCAACACATATTTGCAAGTCCAATGTTGCTGATGTATTATGAGCCTCCAGTTGTTACACAAAGAAGTCAGGGCCACTCAGCTGTGAAAAATTGGAGGGAGACTGGTGCCTCCATTTTCATTCTTGTTTAATATTTCATGAGAATCCTGCACAGAACAATCTGTGAAGCTAAGTACAGTAAATTAAGATGTTTTGCTTCAGAATGACGACGTCTCAGATTTCAGAGAAGACTACAGTTTATTTAGGTCCCCAAGAACAAGTGCATAGATTTCATCACATGAAAGGTCCTTCCTGGTATCAGGAGGCAGGTGGCAGAGTGGATCCATGCAGGATGGGGGGGGCGAGGGATTTGCTCAGGGAAGCGTGTTGGTAGCACTGGCAGAAATGATCCCTTGTGCCATAATTATTAAGTTGCCTGAGGAGCAGAGTTTGAGGAGCAGAGAGACGACTGAAAACAAGAGAGAACTAGGTGCATACAACTATAACGGTCTAGCAGAAGGCATGCAACTTTTCCTAAAGAACTTCCCTTAATTTGGAAGACACTATAGGCACCTTAGTGTGGCCCTGAAGGAAAATATGCCCCCTACTCCTCAGCCAAAAAAATTGATTTATTTTATTTTAAAGGCCTCTCTTGATATACAGCATTTGTAATGGCTTGCAAAAATGTTCATTTAATTTGACTATGTTACAATTATAAGCAGAAAAGGTTAAGGATATGACTACATTTGCACTTGAATTATTATTATTTTAGGGCTGAAATAATTAATCTGATTATTAGTGATTAATAGAATATTAAAATAACTGGCAACTAATTTAGTAATTGATTAATAATTAACTGGAGTATAGAGACTGTAAAACATGCCTTTAGCTTACAGAGCGACCCAATTAGAGCAGTATTTATATACAGATGTTTTAGAAATATAAAAATTTTACATTGAAGATCATTTAATTATATAAAGTCTTCTTTGAAAAACCTTTTGCTATCCTATTATTAATCAATTAAAATGATTGACAGCTTAATCGATTTGAAAAAAAAAAAAACTTTAGTTCCAGCCCTAATTATTGGTATACATCATAATGGTAATTTTTTCAGCTTTTGACAGGTCGGTCTTATTGTTCTATCTTCCATCTCTCGAAAGTTTGAGCAAAATCCAGTTTGGCCTAATCTGGATTTATTCATTTATTTCTCTAATTTCTTTATATATATATATATATATATATATATATATATATATAAAGTGAATAAAATCTATCATGTCACAACTACTCTAATAAATACTGGCCTGAACTCTCTGTCTGTTGCTCACACTCTGCTCTAAATTGATTTCAAGCTTGAATTCAATTTAGTGCATGGGAAAGCAATCAAGGCTGCAGCAGAAACAAGCCTTAATACCAAACTGTAGCTTCTTTCTTGAAAGCGGTCTCTTGTCTGTCATCCCTGGATGTCTAGTTGCCCTAAGGGAGGTGTTAACTTTATATGGTGTGAAAGATGCGTATGTGAGCTGGCTCAATACAGGCTGTTGGGATTGATTCATACAATGAAATAAAAAAAGTAGCAAAGAGAATCCCAGATGAAAACAGGAAAAATGAGCAACACACTCTAGGGCCCATCTGAGAGTTTGCTCATTAGTCTGAAAGCTTATGATGCTCTCACACCAGGTTGTTAGACACCAGGTTCTCAGACCCAGCAAAGCTGCTTGTATGACCCTGGGAGAGATGAGCAGCTACCCTTCAATCATGAACAAGACTGTGAAAACACAACAGACATTTTCTCTTTTCTTGTCATTACAAAGTAAAAAGAAAAGAACACATATCACTGGTATGGCTAAGAAACACCATGTTTACTTTTATTTTTCCACGTTTCCATCACTCTCACACCAAGTAACACTTTTTAATCATCCTGTATGTACAAAGATTAACATTTGGACTTTTCTGTAATCAGGTTTTTAGAATAAAACAGAAAATCCCTTTATTGTCTCACAATGGTGGTGTTGCTGTGTTTACAGCACCAAAAGTTACAGTAGAGGTGGTCACACAACCTTAGAAAAGTGTACACAAATAACAGATAGGAGAATAAAACAAATATAGTATTGTACTGTACAGTGTTTTACAATATAATACTCTGTATCTGGAGAAAAAAAAATCAATTACCACCTGTGGACATTTTTACAGTAATGGGTATGTGGAAAAATAGCAACAACACCAGAAATGTGCAAAAGAAAAAAAAGAAATGACAGCAGTATGTTTTTTTTAACTGACTAAGACATAAACTGTGCAAAAAATCAGCATGAATTTAACAGCTTATTGAGGTTGTTGGGAACAGAGATGGTTATAAAGTCTTACAGGTGCTGGGAGGAAGGATCTGTGATAACGCTCCCTGGTGCATTTAGGGAGCAGCAGTCTGTCACTGAAGGAGCTCTCCAGTTCTGCAACAGCTTCATGCATGGGGTGGGAGACATTCTCTAACAGAGATTTTATTTTAGTTAGGGACCTCAGTCTCCTCAGCAGGAAGAGTCTGCTCTGACCTTTCTTGTAGAGAGCCTTTCTTGTTTTTGTCTAATGCTGTGCCTGCAGCATTTATTTGTAATTAGTAAAATAAAAGTTAGAATACACTAAATTATTACAAATGCACCACCTTATTACACGTTTGCATCTCATAAGTGCCACAGCTCCCACATGTCATGTATGCTATTCTTATAAACAACTAGGACTCTTAGCATGACTTCATAAATTACTACATTATGTAGAAACTCACTCACCTCTGCATGATGCAGCAGTGAAAATGAAGACCTGCTTTCAAAGAATGTTGCAATTAAGTTATTATTTATTTCAGTTAATCAGTTGATCATTTAATTTGGAAAAACAAAGTGAGAGAAGATGGGGAAATTACTGCACCAGTAGATATCCTGCCCTGATGCACAGGAACACAGTAAATTGTGTTTTTCTTTTTAAGGCACTGCAAATCTTGTTGAGTGCTTTAGGATTTTAGAACATTATAATCAAATGTTTTGATAAATATTCTTTTGATAAAATCGCAGTATTTCATTGAAATTTCTAAAGGTTAAAAAACAAAAGAGTAAATTACATAGACACGCTTTACTACCACATACACACACAGTCAGACTCTCACAGATACTGAGTAAACATAACAATGCATAATTTATATATATATATATATATATATATATATATATATATAATGCTAATGCAGTAAAAGATAAACTATTGTGTATGTTTTTTAAGTTTTTTTTTTTTTTAAAGGGGATCAAATTAGGGCTGCAACTAATGATTGTTTTGCTACTCGATTAATCTGTTAATTTCTTTCCAATTAACTGATTAATTATGGAATAGCAAAAGGTTCCTTGAAGAAGATTTTTTACAGAATTAAACTAAACTGAATAGAGCATATTGACAGAAGGAATATATATATATATATATATATATATATATATATATATATATATATATTTTTTTTTTTTTTATAATTTTGGTATAGGTACTGCTCTAAATAAGTTGCTCTCTCAGCTAAAGGCATGTTGTAGAGTCTCTATACTCCAGTTAACGATTAATCGATTACTAAATTAGTTGAGGACTATTTCAATAATAGATTAATCACGATTAATCCGATGAACTGTTTCATTACAAATACAGATAATTGTGACTGATGCTGTGTGACAAACTCTGTAACTTTTCTAGAAATAAGTAAAGCCTCTTCAACCTATGATCCACCTAGGAAATCAGAAATCCTTCCTTACTGTGATTTCATTAGAAGCTCTTGCATTGTTGTTTAAAACCTGATAGGCCGGAACAGTAAATGCAGATGTAGAAGGAATCTGATATGTGATTTATCGGTTTGTGTACCTCAGAGTGCTTGCTGAATCAGCTTTTCCTTTATGTCCAACTTTGCATCTCATTTTAAGAGCATATAAATAAATTGAGCTAAAAAAGAACTGCATGCATCTTCTGCTTGATGACAAGCATCAAGCTTGGGTAGAGGACTTTATTTGGGCACATATTGTGAGTTGGTGTCATACTAACAAGGACATTTACTGAAGATCTGTTATTCTACAGGCCACATTCATTTGCATTGTTTTACCCTGCTGTTGTAAAGCTATGCAACTTCATATTTTATTCAGAGGAAAGAAGTGCTGGGCATTATAATAAAGCTTGACAGTTTTATAAAATGTGTGGTTAAATTTTATGAGCTAAACGAACTTGTAAAACAGCAGTGAATCAATTCCTACATTTGGCGAGGTGAGAACTTAATGCAGGTGGATTTGTGGAAACGCCTTAGATCAGAGCGGCTGTCAAGGCTATTTTGCTGCACAGGAGTCAATTTAGGAGATCTACTGTAGACAACCTTTATTAAATATTTTGATCCTGCAAAGAGGAAGGTTACAGGGAGGAAAGGATGTGCCTCTCATTTCCTCCGTGCTGCAGAATTGACCAGCAGTAAAAGCTCTCCAAGCAGAAGAAACATTTCAGGGACTTTGGCTGCCACATGCAAGCTCATTTAAGTCTTATCTTAGTAATTATTTTGGAGCTTTATCTTTATATCTATATATTTTTATCTTTTTTTGGAGTTTTTACAGCACTAGTGGCTTGTTTTTTCAAAAGTAGGCTGACAGGAAAGGAGGTATGAGAGAGGGGGAGAGACATGCGGCAAAGGACCACAAGTCGGATTCGAACTCAGGTCGGACGCATCGAGGACTAAGTACATGGGTCATGCACGCTAACTAGTGACCACCTGCATGCCCCACAAGCTCGCTTTATCTAATTATCACCAGATTTTGTGGACAGATGCTTTAGACCAATACATATCCTTTAAATCTACTTCTGATACCCCACATTCCTTTGCATTGGCTCTCCCGTTTTCTTTTTGAAGTAGAAACCAGGCTGTTTGCATTGCAGCTTAGTGTGTTCTGAAGAAGAGAATAAGTTGAAAGGTTTGACAGCAGCATCCTGATACTACGATAGCTGTGAATATGCCTGCAGGCTTTTTTTGCTAGCTGTCACTGATTGCTGCAGTCATTCGACTGTTGCTGAGACACAGATAGTTTTGCAATGTGTCATTGCGTTGATGCTGTATTTATACAGCACACAGCCACACTTTCAAACAAGAATCCTGTTCAAACTATAGCTTTAGTAGCAATGTATTGAATATGCCTGTAAGTAGGAATAAAAAAAAAAAAGCAGTATTACTTTATTGATCAAAGATCCTAATTTCTATAGAATATAAAGAAAAACCGCAAATAGTGTGAACCAAAATACTGGATTCCAGTGGGAAAAAGAATATTCATGTATTTCTTAAGCCATTCACAGATTTAATGACCTGGAGATTGGAATCCCGACCTATTTATTTATCTAAATTGATTTCTTCTGCAGCTAATTAACCGCAATATTTACTCATTAGAACATATACAACCTCATTTATTTATGTTTATTTTAATGGTTAAATGTAACATTTATTAATGATGAGGCCCTGGTAAAGGTAGCTGTGCTCTGACCAAAAGTAAAAATCAGACCATACGTCTTCATGTACTAAACAAGATTTCTTTGACAAGACAGTTAGGCATACAATACCTGTTTGTTTATATACTGCAAGTGTCTTCAATTTTAACTTTACATGCCTTTAATACATGCAGTCAATCTTAAGAATCTCACTGAACTAGATGCTTTGATTTGATACAAATTATAAAATGTAAGATGCCGAAAATGAGGTATGGTTGAAGGCCTTATGATGACAGAAAGACTAGAAATTATTTTCTAGTATTGTGCATCCACATTGTTTAGTTTTTATTTTCATTAAAATGAATCAACATTTTATCATCCATTCCTTCCAAACTGCAACTGGAAAGCATTTGCATTTAATAAACAGATCATTGGAAATTATTTAAACTTTATTCCAAATTAAGCAAAATTATATGGCATATTATTGAACCTTTCAGTGACTGTTTTGAGGGGTTTTCACTTCAGTCGTACGGGAAGTTTTAAATCTGGGTCTGGTTCCCTGCAGAGCTCGTTTATACTCTTATGTTAATCATCTTTTGATTTTTTTGTAGAAATATACACTGCTATTACCTGTTGTATCAAGGGAACCAAAAAGAATAGGCAGTGTTTCAGATGTCAGAGAAGGCTAGAGTCTGTTTAAATGCACCAACACTTTCATAATGAATAAAACCATCATCAGAGCTAAGAGCCTCCTGTTCTGCCTGCAGCACAGCATGCAAGCCCTGCTCTAGACAAATGCAAGATGCTTCCTTTCATGTCGAAGTGATGAGGCATGGCCTGTGAATCTTCTGTCATGCTCGTTTCATTTGCAAGTGCATGCTGCATAATGTATTATTTATAACAATGTATAAACCACTGATGGTTAAACAGTAGAAAAAAAAATTATCTGACATATTTTGTTTCCCCGGCTTTTCTTAATGTTACAGAGGTTAACAAACACAGCAGATATCTATTAACTCCTTAGATATCCAGTCATTAATTGACCGAGTTGTTTCAAAATATACACTAGAATGAAAATAAAATAATTATTTTGTTCCCTCATAGACACATAATCTCTTCTTTGCAATTCGCCTTTTTGCAGACATTGTTGATAATAAGGGTGTTAAATCATTTTTGTGAGGACTACTGAACCCTGTTCTTGATTCATATTTTTTTTAGTTATATTTAGTTATATTTCTAAAGGGCATCTGAAACCTGATAAGGTTCTTCAGATTCCCCTGCTAAGCAGTTAAATGTACCCTATCATATGTATATTTAGAGATTTATTATTGTATTAGGTGTCTATTGATAGTGAACTATATACCTGTCCTTTCACTTAATTTTTTATTCAAGAAGCACTGGTTGGGGCAGAAAACTATTAAAAGGTCCTGAGGGTTTTGCAGGAAAACCTTAGCTTCATGATAATTCAGTCTGGTTTGCTTTAAACTGAGACATTTACCGATGCTGAGTCCCTCTATGCTGCTTTCTGCACTATACAGTGACTATTATTAATCATATGTTTTTATTATTGCTTTCTTTCTTTACAATTCTGTCGACATTGCTCTCTCAGCCATCAGTATTTTTAACTAACTTGCCAAATATAGAAAAAATTATCAGGCCATTCTTTCCATTGTATTCTTTATGTTCTGTAATACACCTTAAGAACAAGATATTGTGGAAACAAGGTTGGTTTGAGATTGTTTTCCATCGCTGTATAAACTTGCAGAGCACAGAGCATGGCACTTTAAATATATTTATATCGTATTGATTTATTGTTGCTATGTGGGATTTAAATAATTGATTAATTATGGCTTGTAATTGTGATCAGATTTTGACTCCCATGCTACTGCTATGTTGTTATTACATTTCTAATTTTTTTCTCTGCTTTTACAGCATCCAACCAGCTCTGAAGAAGACATCCCTTCCGAATAAGCTCCAACTCCTTCAGTTCTGGGAAAATATGTCACTCTATTCTTTTTTTCTGCACTTTATAATGGGAAGGCAGAGACCTACAACTGACGCGATGGATGAGTGACGTAAATGACCTCCTGAGGGTACCATAGGCTCTTAGCTGTGTCCATAATGTGTGATCAAGTAGAACCAGTTGGAGAAGGAGAGATAAGAAATAACAACCAACAGGGTGCCGGTGATGCAAACGCCAACAGTGTTCAGACAGAGGTTGGTGGGAGAACTGGACATACTGGCTCTCAATTGGGTATTATGTCTGAGAGAGCAGAGCAAGACAAAGTCATCATCTGGGGAACAGACTCTCAGTGTGATGACCCTGAGCTGGCTGAGTTTGAGATGTTGGAGTGTCAGGAGCTGGAGGCTTATCTGGTGGAGGATGAGGAAGATTTTGTAGGGCTTGCAGAGAAGAGCAAGTGTCAAGAAGAGCCCTCATCAACCAGTAAAGCCACAGAAATGCAGGCAGAAGAAACTAATAAAAAAGGAGCAGAGTCTGTTGTGGATGTTGCCTGTGACCAGGAATCATCTGTGTCTCATGTCTCTGATACTGAAGTCTTTGTGAGCTGTCTGTCCACCACTGCTGCTCTGACCACAGACTCCTGGCACATTGCCCCTGGTTCCCATGTTACCCTTTCAGAGGATCTAACCGTGGCCTCCCAAATTTGCAGCACTGTCTCTGAGCAAGACAAAACCGTTCAAAAAGCCTATCCTTCCTTCCCAGCTAGAAAAAACTCAACGCAAGATTTAGACATGAATTTAAATGCAGCACTTTGTTCAGAGATCATTACACCACAACAAGAGCAGCAGGGTGTTTTGAGCAAGGATGCAAGCAATGGACAGGAACAAGATAATGAGGCAGGAAAATCCATTTCAAGAAAAGATAGTGATGATACAGACACCAAGGTTTTGTTCTGCAGAGAAAGCAACAATACAATGGATAAAAGCACACAAGCCAGCGAAATGCCTGAGTGGATAAAACCACTTAAAAGTAGTGCAAATAGGACTGAGCCATCATTTGAACACAAAGCAATAAGAAAACAAGGCTCATTTGATAGCAGTCCAAAGAAACAAAACTCTTTAGACAGGAATTTTAGAAAGCAGCCGTCCTTTGAGAATTCTTTTAAGAAGCAGCTTTCTTTTGAGAACAGCCTGAAAAGGCAGGGCTCCTTCGAGAACAGCACAAACGTCTCATCTCAGGAGCGTAGGAAAACCTGGGGGAGCCCTGGTCAATCAGCAACAACAACATCCCCCAAAACTTCACCCAAGAGACAACCGCCTGGTTCTCCCGCTAAAGCCCAGGGCACAAGGGCTTTGAGTTTGGAAAGAAATGCCGCTTTTCAAAAAAATGCCAATCAAATCATCAGACCTCCCAATAAGACAAACATAAGCAGTGGAATTCCCAAACTGATTGCCCCCGAACAAAAAGAAACTGAGGTGAGGATTTCCTCACTACAACAGAGGCCGAAAAATGTGAGACCGAAAATCATTACGTACGTTCGAAAAAACACACCAGTAAAACCACAAGACAACGACACCCAGGCTGAAGATTCGACGAAGCCACTGCAACAATCGACCTCTACACTTACCCAGAGGGATTCAAAGAGTGTTCCTCAGTCCAGATCCACTCCGGTGCTCAGCTCCTCCAATGTGCTGTTCGACAAATATCGACAGGAGTTGCAGAAGGCAGGGTGCTATCGACAGATTGGCATAAAACTGTCCAGTGCCACTGCCCCTCAGAGGGTTAGTGGGAAGTCAGAGAGCTTTCATGAAGAGATGTCAAAGAAATACCTCCAAGAGGTGAGATTTGGACTCTGAATTCAACTTGTTTAACACATACATGATCGTACTCCCTCCATATTTTTTCCTCATGTGTACACATTACAACCACAAACTGAAAGGTATTTAAATCGATGCAATCAAATCACCAACACTATTAGATTTTACTTCGCCAGAAATCATTAATCACGTATCATTTCACCTTTACCTTCATATATTCAACTTTCTGTCTACCTGTGAGTCAATTGATTTGTGGTTGTAAAATTCAAATGGTATAAAATGTTTGTTCGAGGTATTTTATCTTAGACCTTGTGAGCAGGTTCTCATGCTGAACATCTTAGACTTCCTTTATTGTCATTGCACAAAAAAACACAAGGTGAATCTTGACAACGAAATGTCGATTACTTGGCTACCACTGTAACAGAGCTAAGACCTTATTCCTGCACAATAAATATGTTTTCTATGAGTAAGAGCTAGCTATTTACAGGGTAGAAATATATGTAAATATACATATATATTGCACTAAGTTATTGAAGACTTAACATCAATAAATAAATATTACACTGAGTTATTGAATATTGCACTGAGGAATTATTGAAAACGAAACATTAAATCTTGGTTGGTAATATTCTTCATCAGAACCCTTATCAAGATGGCGGAAGCATCTATCGTTCACCCAGAACTGTTAGGCCTCAACTGGGTTTAGGGGCGGTTACCAGGCAACCTGCAGCCAGGACAAGAGTGGAGCAGATGGGTCAAAGGTCAGCTTCATCTTCATGCCACGCAGCCAAAGTGTCATCGCCAGGTGTCCAGAATCAGGCAGGTGAGATGGTGGGCTGTTAACCTCTGTTGCAGTTTTAAAAATCTTAAAGGGCTTTCCTGTCTTTTTCTTGCTCAATATTCCTTCCTCAGACTGTCGAGTATGATTTGGCAAATTTTCTTCATGTGACGCTCTCAGTAAAGTTTGGCTTGTGACTCCAAGTCTTTGAAGTGTAAAACATTTGTTAAACAAATTCAGTCAATTTCCACAGCATATTTTAACTTCTTCAAGCGCTAACATAATCTACCTCCACATAAGCTGGTCTCCTTTAAGTATTATTCTATCATTCTGATTACATTTATTTTTATACCAGCATGTAAACTATGCTTTTCTCCCATTAATTTCAGAATAGACAATTATTTAATAAATGCAGTTATCCTATGTATTTTTCAAACAAAGTCCTAGAGATTTTTTTTATCTGTTTAAATGCGTAAGGTAACTAGAGTGAAGTTGTCAGCGAGCCATTTTAAGTTGCCCTGAAGAAAAATAGTTTTTTCTTCCCAGAGACCACACCTAAAAGTCTCCAGCTGAAGTCGGGCCAGTCCGGTCTCCGTCCTCCAGGCTTTTCCAGCCTCCCACCTGCAAGACTAGCTGCTTTAGGTGTGATACGGACATCCAGCGTCTCGTCTGTGTCCAGCAGCCATTCCAATGACAGCTCTCACAGCGATCCTGGTCAACCCTCTAACTGTGAGTTGCATCGCTCTCTTCCTTATAGTTTTACACTGCAAACACTTTATACGTCTCAACAAGTAGATATTAATTTATTTTAGAAAGTAAATATATTTATTGAATATAGAGTGATTGATTTTAGAGCAACTGTTATGATTTGCTGCTATTAAAAATACATAGTAAAGTAAATCTAATTTATTCCAGAAATGTAATATGGTCATGTTAAAAATTAGATTTTTTTCTTTGGCTGTTATTTCGGGGTTTAATAGCAGACAGTGCATTTTTCTCTTTAAACTATCTTATTTTATCTGTTATTTTTTAATTAGCTTGTTCCAGTTTTAATGTTGTTAAAGATAAAAAAACAGTTTGAAAGGCTGTTAAAAGGTGTACTTATCAACACTCAATTAAAACTTCCTCTTGTTAACATATACACAGGTACATCTATTTTTTTTATATTAATAGAGAGCTGTTTTTAATCTTTTAAGAATAAATAACTGAAATTAATCAAAAAAGGGATGTATTTCAAGTGTTTAAAAATTACAGCTTATATCAAATGAAAAGCTGATTAGCGTTAGACTATTAAAGAAGAGGAACAAACAGGATTTTTTATATATAATGTTAATTTAGGGCCTTGATAATCATAAGTAAGAATGCTTAGATAGAAGACATAAAGGATGCTTCGTTGGAAACTATCCTTCACAAGGATGAAGAGCCACAAAAGGTAATTGATAGAAAAGCTCACAGTTTACAGTTCTGTATCTAAATATATTCATAGAAAGTCTAGCAGAAGGAAGATGTTTACTACAGACGTTGCCTTTTTAGAAGCCATGCCATCTGCTAGTGTGACTGTTCTTTTAAGGCTTAAAATCAGCCCCATCCTCAGCAAAGAAATCTCTAATCAGTTATGCTTTCCTTTGATAGTGAGTTCTTATGGAAACTCTGGATTACCTCTTAGGGTTTTGACTCTCCTTCTGTCTTTGCTATTTTTGCATTACCTGGTTTAACATGTTCGGCTTGTAATACAGTTTGCATCATCTTTGCAGGAAAGAATTGAGCTCTAATTAAGCTGAAAAGTCGTTTCTACTCAAATTTAAATAGCCAGCTAAAAGTGCTGTAGCAAATACACGACTAGCTGATAGAGCAGCTCATTAGGGAGCCTCTAAATGGAAATTAGATTTCAACACTGTGCTCCAATTGCGGGTCTTCAGAGTAGCAGAGCTAATCTTCTCTGAGCTGACAATGTCTTCTTCAACATGCTGTTGGCATGGAGTATATCTGTCTATTTAGCATTAGAAGAGTCTATGAAACTGTTTCCTCATGTTTGATAGCAGGCTTCCCTAAAGCATAAATGTGTTGTTTAAATTTTTAAATTAGGATCACTCTGGATTAGTCATATTAAATGATAATAACAATTTTAAAACAAGATGATTATTGTTAGCAGCAATATTATCAATTGTTAGAGCTTCTCTTTACTAATTTTACTATAGTTGCCTTATGTCATTTTTGAAATATTCCTAAAATGATTTCTTTTCTCCTTAAACCATCAATAACTCTTTCATCCCATGCCACCTGCATTACTGCAGTTTGCCTTTCTGCCTTGAAAAGCACTCAAACATTTACATTAGTGCAGCACACAGCGGGTAAAGGCTTTACCAAAAGTAGTTTGTGTGAATCTGTTACTCCAATTCTAACCTCTTTGCAATTTTCACCTATGATGTTGAAAAATGGATTTTAAGGTTTTATTTTTAGTTTGTAAGTCAATAAATGGTTTTGCCCCTTCCTATATTTCTGGACTGCATCTGATCAACCAGTACTCTCATTTAACACAAATAGATATTTAGCTTTTTTTTTGTCTTAAAAGCTTAATATAGAAAGCTCTGCCAAATAATATTAGAAAGTCTCTAAAATTCCCCCTTTTTTAAGTTTTTATCAAGACCTAATTTAAATAAGTTGGATTTTAACTATTAATGTTGTGCATTGATTGAATTGTAACTAATAATAACTAAGTTTTCCATTATAAAATCAAAAAAGCATAATATATATATCTATGTATATACCGTATATAAACACATATATAGATATATATGTCTATATATAGGTATAGATATATATTTTTTTATGCTTTTTTATTTCATAATGAAAAAATGAAAAACAAATTACTAACAATTTTGAAAGGTGCTATGCAAAAAAATTTAATATTACTATGCGTGTTGTGTTTTGGTTTGTGCAACAACAAAGTAGCTAAGCCATTCGTCACCTTAATAAAATATTTACCAAGGTTACAGCCCTATTTTTAATTTTCTGAGTGAGTAATTTGATAAATGTTTATGGTACAGCTGACACTACAGATGTTTTGTGTTAACAATAAGTTAGGAAAACCTTAAGTCAAATGAAGGGTTAAAGCATGGCTAATATAAGATTCTCACAGGATGATACAGTTCTGGCTATATTTGATGTTACATGATGAAGAAAAATAACTTTTAAGCATATAAACAAGAAAAGCAAATTTTGTTCTATTTTAAGTTCTTCAAAAAGGATTTACAATCAAAGTATAAAAGATGCTCTGAGCCACTTGCTGCTGATTAAAGAATCAGTGCTGTGGAGGGTAGTTTAACACTGCACAAGCAGCCAAGCATGCAGCAGCAGCAGCATAAATCACAGTGAAGCACAGCCTGGTTGTCAGTCCTCTTCTCTGCTTTGTGTTTGCTTCAGTGAAAATGTGCTGACTCTCTCAGGTGGATTCCAATTGCTGCAGTGTGAGGAGTTGCTGCAATCCCTTCTGCGTTTAGAACCAGACTTTGTTTAACTAAGATCAATTAAATATTCAAGCTATTAACTGTGCAGTAGTGCATGATGCAACCATCTTATCTGTTCTCTGGTAAGAATAATGCAGTTCAAAGGCAAAAGATTGATTTTATTCCTCTTTCAAGGTGTCAAATTACCTGCAGAAGTTGGAGCCTCTGTTAGGAAGCGTATTGATATAGCTGCTGAATATTTTATAAGTAATGTAATCTGTCTCCCTGGTTTTTGACTTCCTGCTTACTCAGACATAGTAAACCTTAATCCTGATGTTTGTGTGTTTATACCTTTACTTGCTGCTGATAGATTTTTTTTTAAATATATTTTACTTGCAAAGTAAGGTTATTTGGGGAAAGCAATGACTTTATCCTGGTCTTTACTTTTATTATTCTGTTCTTTTATCAGGGATTAGATTTAGGCTCAAGTGATTCAAATTGAAAGGTCTGGGTTAAGTTTAAAAAATAAACGAAAAAACAATGGAGGTCAATGAAAACAACCCATGCATGTAATAAAACATGGATATGTGTTTGAATGGTAAGAAACAGCCCAAGTTCAAAATTAGGGGTGCCCTCTGCAGAATTTATTGGATTTTCATTGGATCAATATTTTTAAGAACAAAAGGTTTTTTTATTCAAAAGATAATTGTCATTTTTTAGCTTTGTTATAGATATTCTAATATGTAAAATAATTTTTCGTTTTTTTTTTAATAATTCCCTACAATCAATTATAACAAGTAACCCAAAGGTACTCTGGAGAGTTTAGGATAAAAAAAAATCTTTACAAAAAGTGTTTATGCTAAAGTACCAGATTCGATATACACAAAAAAATGTAAGAGCAAGTAAATATAATTTGTAGGAGTTGTTTCATTTCAAATTTTTATAAAAAGAAGATTATAATGAATCTTTTTGTGTGAAATCACATTAAGGTCATGATATGGAGTAATATTCCTCTTGCCAATTACAGCCTTGTTGCATGTTTAAAGACATATTAATCTTTCTCCTTCTTTTGCAGTTCCCAGTGCTGGCAGTGATGAAACACTTCCACATAAATCCGTCACACTTCTTAGTGGATCTTCCCATCCTCAGGGTCTGGTGAAGACCCCCAACACCATGAGCATGCAACGTCGTAACGTGTCACCGCAGCACAGCTCCCACTCTGGTACAGTCACACATCACACAGACAAGTCGAAATAAACATCTAGTCTTCAGTTTGCTCTCCATATCCCTGTGTTTAATTTATATGTAAGACTCAGAGGTAATGCTTTTGTTGTGATTGCCTTATCTCAATAACTGGATGTACTGTTTGATAGATGAGCCTTTTGACACAATACATGTCCCAATAGGTTGGGCTACAGTGGCGTTGGATGCAGTAGGGTCCGCAGTTCAAACCCCAGTCTCAGTCATGTGTCCTTGGACTGATGGTGGTCAGAGGCCCCGGTGGCAAAGGTGTAAAACAGCCTTGCTTCTGCCCCAGGGCACCTGTGGCTACAGTGTAGTTCACTACCATCAGTAAAACATGGAATTTATTATAAAGTGCTTTGGAGTCCCCTTTCTTATAAAGGCACCATATAAGGACAGGACCAGGGCTGCAACTAACAATTATTTGGCAAATTGATTAATCTGTCCATTATTTTTTTGATTATTAATCAGATAGCAAAAGGTTCCTTAAAAAGTTATTCTTACAAGATTAAACCAGGTGAAACTAAAACTTTTGCACTTGCGGAGTTCTGGATAGAACATATTGACAGACAAACTATTTTTTTTTATCCTAAATTCAAAATGTTTGAATATTGTTTTTTTTTTTTTACGATTTTGGTATAAGGTGGGTCTCTGTCAGCTAAAGGCATGTTTTAGAGTCCGTATAATCCATTTAACAAATAGTCGATTACTTAAATAGTTGAAGATTATTTCTATTCATCACGATTAATCTGATTAATTATTTCAGCCCTAGACAGCACATTTACCATTTCTACCATTGCATCTCAACTCACTGATCGTTAACACAAAGGGAAATCATACAGATGAACAGGTTAAAAGTTTTCTAGCTAAGGAAACCCAGTTGAATGCATTCAGTCATTGACTTTCAAATCCACACTTACATATACTTAGACAGACTTAGACAGATTTTATTTTGTCATTTTGTACAAGCAAGTGTTAACAACAAGAAATTTCGTTATGTACAGCTCTGTAGACCAGGGGTCCTCAACTGTTTTCAGGCCCTAATTATATATATTGTATGAAATTGTGTTATATATATATATATATATATATATATAAAAAAGTCTAATCAACCAAAACTTTTACGACCCCCATGCAGTACCTCTGTGGACCCCCTAGGGGTCGCAGACCCCCTGTTGAAGACCTATGCTCTAGACCAGGGGTGTCAAACTGATTCCAGAAAGGGCCGTGTGGCTGCAGGGTTTCTTTCCAACCAAACAATGGCACACCAGACTTGATTTATCTCATCACGTCATCATGTTCAGATTGGACTGACTTAATGAGATGACTGGAGTCTGGTGTGCTATTGCTTGGTTGGAAAGAAAACCTGCAGCCACACGGCCCTTTCTGGAACCAGTTTGACATCCCTGCTCTAGACTATTTCATTTTTTTCTATTTTCATTTTTTAAAGTGCAGCCATGATGAAAAAAAAAAGTGATGGAAACATATGACTGTATAGTTACAGTTCCAACATTCAGTTGTTGTTTTTTTATGACCCATTTTACATAACATTTAGCAGTCTAATGGAAGTGAGCAAGAAATTGTTCATTTTAAGTATTGTTTGAACTTTGTGGTGCATACTTTCAGACCTAACTCTCCAAACTAAGGGTGTGCTGTCATGTTTGGTTGCTCTATGTGTGTCATTGCTACCTTGGTTAGAGGTTTTTTCCTTGCTCTGCCTGTTATGATGTATCTCCCCCTCGAAGCAATATCCAAAATAAACTGTTTAAAGGCTTCCTCTGTGTATCACAGTGCCTTAATAAGGATTTCTTAAAGTGTTTGCAAAAAAAACAAACAAAAACAATACTGTAATTTCAGGCATCTGTGCTGTTGTAGCTGTTGCCTAGCATTGCAGCTCAAGTGATGCTGCACCACACATTGCACTTCCTTGCTGTTCCCATAGGAGGCAGTGAGATATGTAACATCCCCTATATTTGCAGTGAATGTGGCATATCGCCACCATCTAGTGGTCATTCTGTGTATAGAGTAACCCTGGTTCTTCTGTATATTTTTGGCTCTTTTTGTTTTTCAAGTTGTTTTTTTTTAAGATACTTTAACTGTAGGAAGTATTTCATTTGTTATCTAAAGAAAGCAAAGTGAAATTAAGAAGGTGGAACAAGCAAAAAATCAAAACTTTTACAAACCTTTAAATAATTTATTTGCATTAATGCATCTATTTGACAATTCAGATCTCCTGCTAAGATGTAATAATGAGCTGAGAGGAGGTGCTTAAAGATCACAGAATTATCATTGATTATGGTTTTTCTTACATTTTAATGCTAAGGTCCATAACAATGAGCTTTGCAGTTTCAGAAATGTAATTAGATCAAATTTGAAGTACATTGAAATTATTTATACCCAGAAAGAAATTTGTTTTTGTTTGTTTGTTGTTGTTTTTTTTGAGGGGTTAATTCTTTAGTTCTTAGCAGTTTTTTTTTTTGCAATTACAAGCTGAACTGTATCACATTTTTTGTAAAATAACTTGAGATCAGTCATACTAAAGGAGTGCATTTATCAATGCCAATTCAAGCCTTACCAGAACTTCTTTCATGTATTTAAGTCCAGAATTTGTTCAGGGTAGATAATGATATCAACATTTAGGAGCAATTTAGTTTTTTGTTTAAAATTCTTTCTTAGATAGTTGAATAAATTCACAATCTTTCAACTGAATGATTCGTTTTAGCTTTCAATGGTATAGAGTCTATTTATCTTTAATTATGCATACAATTTAGCTAATCATTACTTTATAAATGTTATTGAATTAAAATATTTATTAGATTTATTGAGAACATTTGCAATTTCAAACTTGAGTAAAAGTAAAGGAAAAGTTAGCATTTGGTATTTAACCAGCTGTTTTTAAATCTTGAGATGTTATTTAGAGAATGCAATGTCTAAACACTCCTAATCATGTTCTGAAAAAGAATAATTAATTATGTTTATTTGTTGGAAATCAAGCCACTAAAACTAGAAACCTTTACTAAACTAATTTGCTCTTGTTTCCTAACTTTTCGGTTGTAGGGTAGATTTCTTTAGGAACAAATCCAACATTTTCTTCTCTACACAGTGTCGAGGACAGAGCTGCATAAGGACACTGAAGCTGGACTCTCGCCGAGATCATCCCCTAAAAGGTGTGCTGTGGTTCCACCAAAGCCACAGTCCCCAGGTGAGTCCATCCTTTCATGCTCACACCATGTACACCCCATGTTCAGTTTGTTCCCACATAGCGCATCTTCATCCACTGCTTCTGTTCCTTTAAAAATGAAAATTGAGTTCATGTTGTCCAGTTCTCATTTCCTGACCCTATACCTAGCAACCTAATGTTGTCATGGCAACAAGGTACAGTTTCCATAATGCTGTGGTGGCTCTGTCAGCAGCAGTGTTTCCGGTTTAGATTACATCAGTGTTTGTCACTAAGTTGTACTTTATTTAGATACACCTCAGACAGAGAAGGAGCTGAATATAGAGCTGCAGTGCAGTGAATAATGTTCCAATGGAGGCCACATAACATGCAGCCATACTTGGGAAGTAGAAAGCTGCTCTTCCTTCCGCAGTGTGTAAAAATAGTTCTTATCTCCACCTCCCTGCTTGTGCATTAGCCAAGTAAGATAATTAAACGAATCATCTGAAGCAAACTCGGCTCTGTAATAAAGTAATATTAATCTCTGCAGACAGTACAGGTGCACTCTAGTGGTAGAAAATCAAAAATTTATTTTTTTTAAAGATTGAATTAAAAAAAAAAAATCATGTTTCATCCATTTATTAAATAAAGCATTATGGTATTCTAAGCTTTTATTGCTGTTTCTTTGAATGAGTATGGCATATAGTTACTGGGACCAGCATCTCACATTTCCAAACATTAGAAAATCAAAAAAAGAAGAAAAAATGAATTTCAAAATAGAGATGTTCGCTTACTGTCCTACAGAGAAAAAAACTTGGTAGCTCATCAGCAGAGGGAAGCACAGAGGATTTAAAAATGACTGAAAGCTGATTTTTTTTTTTTGGTGTTTGACTTCATTACTACATAGAGTAGTGGATCAACACTAATAGATGGGATGGTTCCTCAACTCTCCTCTGACTGGAAACTTTGCAATGGACTGAAGCTAACTTGGATCTGGTGTTTCTCCACCTTTCCTCTAGACTCTGGGATCTACTCTTGGTTATCTACAATAACCTCCCAGGTTATTGAATGGACTTTGCTTCATGATCCGCTGAAGGCTCCAGTTATTACTGTATTCTGGGCTACTTTTTTCTGATCCACTTATGTTTTCTTCCACTTAGCTCTCCATTAACATCATTGGAAACAATACTATGTGAAGAGGCACCTTTTTTAAGGACCTAGTCTCTATGATTAGGGTATCAGTGATTAATCAACATATAGAAAATCAACAGTGTCCCATAGCATTATATTTCAAGGTTACATTAAATTCAGTTTTCAATTCAGTTTATTTATAAAGTGCCAATGCACAACACATGTCATCTCAAGGCAATTTAAGGTTCAACAGGTCATACAGGCAAATTTATTAAAGTTTTCTATCTAAGGAAAACTAGTTGATTGCATTGACTCATTGACTCAAAAGCAATCCCTCACACTAAGCATGCTTGTAGAGACAGTGGAGAGGAAAACTCCCTTTTAACAGGAAGAAACCTCCAGCAGAACCAGGCTCAGTGTGAGCGGCCATCTGCCGAGGCCGACTGGGGTTCAATGAGAACGTTATACTTGTGTATAGAGTCAATGTATTATAAAACTCTCCAATACATAAACTTTTATTTAATAATTCGACCTATTGAGATTCCCTAATGGCCAGTTGCTTGGGCTCTCGCTGCCTTTGATGCCAATGTTTTACTTGGTCATAGAAAGATGTGTCAAAACAGAAGCGAAGAGAGAAAAAATTGATTAATTGCAACTAAAAACATCATTACAGACTGAACAAAACTATTATAATTGCATCATTTCTTTAAATTGTGTTGCCATACTTTCAGTAGAGATACCTATCACACTCTGATCTGACTTGAAGCAAAAACATGTTGCTGAATCATTGCTTTTTCTCTTTAGCTCGCAGTCGGGCAGCAGCGGTTCATGGTTCTCCTCGGACAGGAAGGCCACAGGAGCTGGACCGGGCTCTGATCAAGCAGCTGCAGGAGCGATGTGAGCAGCAGGCCCTGCAGCTACAGACCCTTCAGGCTCAGTTGAAGAAGGCCTCCTTGTGTCTAGATGCTTTCAGTATCGCCACTCTGCACTTTTGCAACAAGGTAGGATCATAGAAATGATACCTGTTGGTCTAAGGTCAGGTTCTTTTATCCTAACCCAAATCCCAACACAAAACAATATTTTTACATAATTCCATAGGATGATGAACAGATTCTAAAGAAAAATTCAATGCAATGTTTTGTAAAAAATCTTATTACTGAATTTATATAATTTATTCAAATTTATTTTCTTTACTTTGAGCTTTATGGTTTTAGTCATTTTTGACTCACAGAGTCCACATTTTCTGAGATACAGAGAACCTGTGTCAGCTTCAATGCAACTTTAAAGCATCCATCATCCTTTTCTTCAAAAGGCACCTGTAGAGTCCAGCTATTTCTGTCAAAGCAGTAACTGTCTTTGAAGCTTTTTTTATGACACATTAAGGGTGACTCTGTAGCAGCCAGCTTGATCAAACAACTGCTTTTAGGATTTCCTGAGAGGTTTTATTATAGATTAGAAAAAGATTGTTTTTTTTTAAATAAAAATAATGTATAGAGTATCCTGTGGAAGCCATGTGTCCACAAGTTTAAGGTGTAAATCTTTAAGCTAGTACCATTTTGTTAGGTAATATCCACAGACATCATTGTTTTTCTAGGGATTCTTGACCAACAACAGATCTAAACATATGACCAGAGATCCAGAATTGTTCAGATGTCTCTGTCTGTTTGGAGGGAGCACTAAAAATCTAGAACTAAATCAGGTTGAGAATAGCAACATTTGGAAATTGATTTTTAGAGTCTATCCAATCAGATTGAGCCTAAACAATCTCCCTTACTGTCCCTTAGTGGGGATATTTAGGTTTGCCATAAGGAAGTATTAAATATGATAAATAGGTAGAAACACCCCTAAAGATTTTTTAGACATAATTGCTGCAAGAGAAGGGTCTACTATGTATTGACTTTAGGGAGCCTAAAAGAATATAAACTGCACTTTTCAGGTATTATTTGGATTTGTTATTGTCCTCAGTTTTTCTTCCCTAAAAAGTTAACATTGTTTTTTTGGATATGGATCTGCTCCACCGTTGAGCTCTAGCTGACTCAATCAGAAGTTTCAAATGTGTCATTTGATGTCAAATACTGTAAATTGCAGCTAATGAAAGCAATACCTACCTTAAAAATTGGAAAATAGTCTTGATTTAAAAAAAAGGCTCAAAATCTGGGCTGCAACTCTGAATTACCGGTATTATTATTTGTCTAATTGATTAATATGTAAATTATTTTTTCATTTAATAATCAGACAACAAAAAAATGCCTTAAAGATTTTTATTTTTTTTTTTTCAAGATTTAAACCAGGTTAATTTAAAACTGCCACTTCAGGGCTCTGGATAAAACATATTCACAGATAAAAATGTTTTTTATGCTTAAATATGTTCCTACTTTAAGGGGGTTTGCTCATTTAGCTAATGGCATGTGTTACAGTCTCTGTACTCCAAATAATGATTATTAGTTATTTTCAAGAACCAATTAATCACCACTAATCAGATTGTTTGAGTTTTAGCTAAAATATTAATATAGTTACAAAAGTAAACTATGTACAGATTTAGTTTTAATAAGTCAAAATTATTGTTCTATAGAGAACATTAAAAGTACATTAATGTATATAATGGTGATAGAAGTCTGCAGTCTGATATGTTGTGCTTCATGTGTTATAGTGGATAAGATTCCTTGCTAAAGGACCATTAATAAACCATCTTTTGTACATTTCTGTTTTTTTCATAGAAAAAAAATAAGCCCCCTCAACTGGTTTTCTTTTTAAATGTCTATAATGTCTAATGTTGGCTTAATATTTAATTTTTTCTTTCTTTTCCTGCCCCTTTGGATTTAGCAGTTGTATTTCATAAACCTGTGCTGTTTACAGTTGGGTAGATTTGGAAAAACTATTGTTGGTGTTTTATTTATTTTTATATAAAAAAATAGAAGACGTGTGAATATTTACCCTCAACATTTAACAGTACTGAGCTGATTATTTATGGGGATTCATTAAACTGTAGTTTTAAGATGCTTGATTTCAGTGGCAGTGGTGTGAAATTTTACTCTAGGTCCAAAAAGTAAACAAAATAAGATCTCAAGATTGTCCCCTAATCTGTATATCTGACTGCTTATCGATTAGGTCTCTTCTTTTCTCCAGCTGCCCTCAGAGATTTATAAGATGCGTGTTGCTCTCTGTCGTGCGTATGACTGTGATATGGGGCGTGTTTGTGGGGGGTTGAGGGGAGGACAGGCAGGATCTGGCTCTCTTTGTTCTAGCAGGGATAAATGATGCTCGTAAACCAAGAGCAAGGTATGGTTTTGGTTGTTTCCTTTCTCCTCTCCTCCCCTCTCCTTTCCCTGCCTCATCCCTCCCCTCTGCTTTGACTTTCTTTCTGCATCTTTCCTTTCACTTCCCGTCTATCCCTGCTGCCTCTACATCAGGCTAAGGGATGCTGCCGTCTGCTAGCCTAATATGGGCCATTGCTGCTGCAGGCTTCATTTTCTCCCTATCTGCTGTGTGGACCCAACGGTAAAGGCAGTGTCATCTGAGGGCAGTAAGCTTGTTTTTCTTTTAGCACAGAGGATCCCTTAATGCATTTGTAGCTGTGCTCATGTGTGTTTGGTGATGAGGGGGTCTGAATGTGTGCATCTATATGATCGTTATGTTCACTTGTTTCCTAGCGACAGCCGGTAGAGAGCATAGGGATGATTATGCTGAGTCAAAGCTGTCTGAGTTTGCAGGAACACTGCAAAAAAAAATGTTGCAGCTGTGCTTCATTCAGTGTTTGGGTGTGTGTATTGTGTCAATACCTTTCTTCTGCTTAATTAAAGTCTATATAATTGAATAATTTTAAGCACCTTAACATGAATCTCATGGCAAAGCATTGCAAAAATAATCCAAATAATTTTAACTTTTTCCACATGCAGTGTATTTTAGATGTGCTACATTTTAATAGCTTTAACTTTTTCATTTTCATCATAAATAAGGTGCAATGTGTGGCATAGGTATATATTCAGCCCTTCTTGTCTCTACCAGTTATCTAGATATACAGATTCAAATGTTTGCCCATTCCTCTTTGCACAAAAGCCCAAATTCTCTCAGATTAAAGAAAGTGGTGAACAGCAGCACATTCAGCAGCAGATTGTCTTTGTTGGAGCTAGGAGGAAAATGGAATAATAAAGTAACTGACTTCAGTGGGTCAGACATTTTATTAGTCAGATGGGTGGAGCTTCTTTGAATAAAATGATTTAAAACATGTTTTATTCCTTAGAAGAAGAGCCTTTAGTGCAGTATGATGTTTTTATACCGCAAATGAAACCTCTTAGAGGATGACATCATTTTGACTAAGATAAACTGTTGACTGTTTCATACATTTTTTAACAGCTCCACTGCTTTTTTGTCTGTGTTTGTCTCTTCATTCAAATGTAATTATTTGTTAAATACAGTTTTTTTCTACAGACTACAATTAGGATAAACTATTTTGTTTCTCTCTTGTGTACCTTATGTTTTTTCATGAGTTTTGCCATACTACACCTATAGGTCCCGTCGGGCAAATAATCGTGTTGCATTATTACAAATAATGAAAATAAAAATCCTCTGCTTACCTTCATTAGCAAGATGTGATCTAGGTTAATTTAGGTAAGTGTACGAGCTTCATACAAGCATTAAATCAACCTGCAAACGATATGAAAATAATAAAATAATGGAACATTTTAAAGCTGATACTTTAATTGTATTACTAGATTTTTTTATGTCGCATTACGTGATCTGATAATTCCTGTTTTATTACTCATCACAGAGATAAGTACTTATAAAAACTATATCTCTGCTACCAAGTACAGAATTTTTTAGCAGTAATTTGAAATGAATTAGGTTTTAAAAGCTTCAACTGTCTTTTTTGCTTTTTTTAATATTTTTTTTTTACTTTGATTAATCTTGTCTGACCCTGAACAGTTCCTCTAAGATGAGAGATACATACAGGATTGCAACAGAGATGAAAAAAGATAAATATATTTATACCAAACCTGAATACTAGGCAACTGTCAGAAAGAGTGGCAATTGGGGGCTGAACAAGCCTCAGTAAGGAAAAAAAAAAAGAAATCATATATTGGTGATTTGAAATGTAATCAGTTCTGACTTAGATACTCGTAGAGTTTCTGTATTTCGAGTAAAAGTTTTATTTTGTGGAATTTGCAATTTGAAATGACCCCTAGGACAAATGTATGTGATAAATATTATGTTTGTGACACATTCATACTCTCATCTAATAAATTATTAGATGGACTGAATATATTTTTAGTGTGATTAATGCTCACACATGATTTTTCAGTAGATAAAATGATGATGGAGACAGCGAGCAAAACAGTTATGGAAAAGAGAGAAATTAAATGTGACTTTATTGTGATAATGTGTCATTTCAATGCAAGTGATTGCAGTCATTCACAAGCTACATGCATGTTAGCTTATGGAGGACCAGCTCTACCATATTAAAAAATAAATACAGAAATAAATAAATGCTCAATAAATAAATAAGCATATAATTAGTTGTAGGTAGAAATTAGATTATACAGTGAGACATAAATGTATATATCTCTTTTAATTAGCTTCTTTATTTATTCACCTTTGTAATAATTACCTTATTTGTCTATTGTCCAATATAATCTACAACTTTGTTTAATAATTACGTATTTATTTATGTGCATGTTATAATATTTTGTCTGTACATTCGACAAAAAACATTTGTCGAATGTTTTCCAACCGATACCAAAGGTAAAGCAGACACGCACTTGTTGGTTATGATTATTTATCCTGCAGAACATAATGGAAACACATACCTTTTTCTTTTTTTTTTTTTACAGCTTTCTTTTTAATTACTGACATGAGTTTGTTTAATTAAAAGGAGTTCAGTTTTTTTTTTTTCTGTTTTATTCCAGAATGAGAGCGCCATAGTAAAAGAGAGGGAACTATCCCTTGAGCTCGCCAGAATCAGGGATGAAGTGGGTAAGTGGGAAACAGTTGATTATTCAATGATTAATACTAACAAAATGGAAAGAACTAGAATAAAAATATATATTTGTTAACTGAAATAAAAATAGAAACTTATTGAAACTGTAATAAGAGTTTACCAAACTAATTAAGACGAACTGAATTTTAATAGAGAATATGCTTAGTTTCCATTTGTTTATCATAATGAATTAATATGAGGTAGTTACCAGTTGCTATTTTTACATTTTTTTCCGCTGTATTGCATAACGCTAGCAGATGGCAGGTACAGCAGTCAGGTCATTGGTGTTGCTGCAAGGGTCTCTACTTATCTAGCATTTTTTATTTGTTTTTATTTTTTAGTATTTCTTGTACGCAATACGTAAGTCTTATTACATAAAAGACTAAATCTATACCTGAAACTAATGAAAACTAAACTGAAACCAAGCATTTTCCAAAACTAGCTAACATATAATAAAATATATATAATATAATAATATATTATATATATATATATATATATATATATATATATATATATATATATAATATATATATATATATTAGGGCTGCAACTAACAGTTATTTGGTAAATCAATTAAGCTGTCGATTGTTTTTTCAATTAATCAGTTAATTATTGGATACCCAAAGGTTACTCAAAAGTTATTTTTTTACAGAATGAAACCAGGTGAAACTTAAACTTTTCCACTTAAGGAGTTGTGGATAAAGAATGTTGACAGTTGACAGATTTTTTAAGATTTTATTTTTTCATCAAGATTTTAAATGCAAAATGTTTTTATATTTTCTTACAGTGTTGGTATAATTACTCTTCTTAGTGGGTTTCTCTGTCGGCTTAATGCATGCTTTAGAGTTTAAACTCCAGTTAACGATTAATTGATTACTAAATTAGTTGATGAGTATTTCAATAATCGATTAATCAGGATTAAACCAATTATATGTATATAAATGTATATATCGCGCTTCATCCCTGCTGGGGTTGTGAGGGGTGCTGGTGTCTATCTCCAGCTGTCTACAGGCGAGAGGCAGGGTACACCTTGGACAGGTCACCAGCCCATCCCAGGGCAACACAGAGACAAAAATAACAAACAACCATTCACACACACACTCACACCTAAGGAGAATTTAGAGAAGCCAATGTTGAAGCCATGTTTTTGGACTCTGGGAGGAAGCTGGAGTACCCGGAGAGAACCAACGCATGCACAGGGAGAACATGCAAACTCCACGCAGAAATAACCCGGGCCAGGAATCTTCTTGCTGCCTGGCAGCATTGCTACCCACTACGCCACTGAACAGCCCACAAAATACACATCTCTAAAATTTTAAAGGACCCATGTCTGACCCCATACTACCTAAACTAAGATCTATCCATATTGAACATTTGATCACCAAAATTTGGGCCCAGTTAAGTTATTTTGTTCTTTACATGTTCCAGCTGTTAGTGTCGCGCACTGGGAGCAGCTGCAGCAGGAGAAGGGGGACCAGGAGCGTCGCTTTGAGGCAGAGCTGCAGGGACTGCGGGCTCAGCAGCAGAGAGATCTGGGAGCGCTGGAGGAGAGGCTGAAGGCTCAGCACATTGAAAAAACCGAAAGCCTGCAGGCCCATCAAAGAGCTGAGCTGGAGGAGCTACGCTCCAGACATCAAGAGCAGGTGCTTAAAACACGCTGTTACCTCACCTAACACGCTTTTAAGGGTTCGGGATTATAGGCGTTATGAAAACATAGTTTGTGTAAAACATCTGAACATTTTTGTCAAAGCTTGAGGAGATGACTGACAACCATGAGGCCTCCTTGATGGAGATGGAGACCACCCATAATAACACACTGGACACTCTACAGGAGGAGCATGCAAGAACAGTAAAGAGTGAGCATCTGTGTTAAAGACCTGTTCTGGCTGCACTGTCTTCATTTTAAGATGAAGGATAATATGCTGTCTGTTTGCAGATCTGAAGATGGCTCATGAACAGCAGAAGAAGTCTCTAGAGGAAGAGTTTGAGAAGATCAGACTTTCCCTCCAGGTTTATTTTTCTCTTTTAAGGTTAAAATTTGAGCAAAAAAAAAATTTATATATATGTTTTGTTTTGCTTTCCAGGACCAGGTAGACACTCTGACATTTCAGAATCGCAGCCTCAGAGATCGAGCAAAGAGGTTTGAAGAAGCTCTGCGTAGGAGCACAGATGAGCAAATAGTTGTAAGTTTTTTATGATTTAGAACTATAAGATATAGGAATGGCTCTGAGAACAACTGCAGAATAAATATGGCCTCCGTTTCAGGATGCTTTGGCTCCATATAAACATATTGAGGAGGACCTGAAGAGTCTAAAAGAAGTTCTAGAGATGAAAAATCAACAAATTCATCAGCAAGAACTGAAGATCTCAGAACTGGAGAAAATAGTAGGTTTTAAGTGTTTTCCATCAAAGTGTATTTTTTGTTAAGGATGTTTTTTGGATGCATCTGATTCATAATTTAGACCGTCACAGTGATCATTATTTGAAACATTAGATTAAGCATAAATGGGCTTTGGATTTTAAAATATTCATTAAATTCAGATATAAAAAATGTTTTACACTGTTTTATTTTTGCAATAATAATGTGTCCTTATGCAAAAGATGAGGTGATGATATTTTACATCTAAGTTTGCAAAAATGCAAAACGGACAGTCAAATAATTTTCCCTATCTTTGTAAATTGATGCATTTATTAAAGTTTTATGCTTTTATCACATTTAAAGACTTTAATGTTTTCTGCTCTTTCACCTGTGTTTTTGAGCAGGCTGAAAAGAATGTGTACCTGGAGGAGAAACTACAAGTGTTGCAGCAGCAGAATGAAGACCTGAGGGAGCAGATACACAAGAATCTAGCCGTGTCCAGGTCTGTATTTATGTGCGGCCCATTTGTTTTTATAAGATCTAGTTCAACATTCACTGTGCACTGTATATGTTCAAAACGTTGTTATTTTAGAACCTTAAAGGTATAGTGGAGGATTTTTGCGAATTTTTGAAAAGACCTATCAAACACGTGCGACAGCGTGCATGTGCCCATTTCTCCTCATGCACACTCTGCTTTTAAGTTGCTGTTTGCATCGTTCATACAAGCTTCAAAAGAAGATTTACAATTTTTCCACCATATCAGACTCACCAACAGTAAGTGAAAATGGGGATGAGCATGTAGGACGACCTTACGTAAACATATCACCAGAATGATTGACAGTTAGGAGGACCACTTATTTTGATGATCTACCTGGAAGAAGAACATCCTCCAGTATACCTTTAAACTTCTATGTATTTTGGGATTTTTTATTGTGAGCAGTACACTATACGGTAATTAAAAGAGCAATTTTGGGGGGGAAATCTGAAATATGTGAATATTTTGTAAAACCAGCTTACACTGGAGCTACAGCTAAAAGTGTTTTGATGTAGGTCTCTATTATCTCTCACATACAGTATAAGAAGTTTTTCCTTTAGTCGGGACTTTGATTAGGCCATTTCAGTACATGAAAAGGGGTTGATTTGATCAAATCCATTCGACTGCAACTCTGGCTCAATGTTTAGAGAGTTGTTTAAGTTCGCTGATATATGAAATAATTTTGTTGTCTCCTTTCTCATCCATTCTGACACAAAGCAGCACTCCAGCATGACTCATAGCCGCCTTCATATGTCACAGTAGGGTGGCCTTCTGGTCTTGTGACAAACTGCAAATGAGACCTCTTATGGCTTTCTTTTAACATGACACTTCTTTTTGTTCTTCTATTCCTTTACCTGAACAACTCAGAGCCTGGTTGAACTGAATTTTATTTGAGGGTATCATATTAAGGGGGTGGAATACAGATGATTGTGAGATTTTTAGTTACATTTCTTTTTGTGATAACTTGATAACCTGGAATCATTTCAGTGCCACTTTAAAAATATCTGTCACATATAATCCCAGTAAAACACATTTGAGATTATATTTTGACAAAATATTACAGTATATCAGCTTGGGTTTTCTTTTTTGCAACATTAATTGCGTATTTTCTTCATCAGACAACTCTCTGAAGAGAATGCCAACCTGCAGGTGCATGTGGAGATGGAAAGCAAAGAGAAGAAGCGTTTGAGTCGCACCAACGAGGAACTGCTGTGGCGTCTGCAGACAGGCGAGCTGAGTCCACACATGACCCCCAGCTCCTCCCCCATCCACCGGCCAGCCTCTGGACCAGGCTCACCGGCCCGTCCACACTCCTACCATCAGTGATTGTTTGTACCAAACACATTATTTTATTTAACTCTGAAAAAAGTTCCTCTGTTTTAAAGGAATGCTATACAATCGGTTATATGTTGTTTGTTGGGAAAATGTCAATCTTCCCTATGAATTATTAACAGTCCACTGAATGTTTTTTTTTCATTGACCTCATGAATTGTACTGATGAGCAAATCCTTATCATCTTTTTTTTCCAGCTGATGAAAGTTCAGAGAACATCGCAGTGCCTCATTAACATAGTTATAGCTTCATCTACATTTTTACGTTTCCTTTCCAGCTCTCAGGTTGATGGATAAACAAGACAGTGTATGCCCTCGAAGCTCAATGACAAAATCAAAAAGCGCCTTTTGTCATCCATTTCCTCCCACCAGCAAGCTCCACCTGGGGCTCAGCAGTATTATGAGAAAAATCTACCTACACCTGTCATACTGCAGATCAACATTTGTACGTTGAAGCATCTCATGCCCCATGCATATGGATCATAACAAGCCATCTAACCTTTAAACAAATGAAACCACTTAACTGCCAACGCCATGTAAGTATATTATCAGTTATTACACGTGTAGACTGTAGATGTATGACTAGCTTTACAGCATGAGTTATCTTCCAGTTAGAGATGATTTAATGTGTGAAAATTGATGAGTTGAAAAGAAAAGCAGCACATGCTATAGCTGGGAAACACAAACCATCACCTTCAGCTGAATGGAAGAAAAATGGTTCAAAACCACCAAAGATGAAATCATTAAACTGTTACACACTTCATTGGATAAAGGTTTGGAGTTTAATGCAGCCCACTCAGGCTTTAGACAGAACTAAATACGCATTTCTTTCAAAGTTCGAAGAAATGGTTATATAAATGTTTATTAATGTTTTAAACTTTTTTTATATGTAGATTTTATTTATATAGAAACTGCTGAAAAATGAAACCGGCAGGTGTTCAGCTTTTTTGAGACGAAAACAATTTTGGCTGCAGTTCTTTTAAAGTTTTTCTCTGCCTTTTTGCACATTTAGAGGGAAACTTTTTTAGTTTAGAAATGTATTTATTTATTTTAATTTTCTTTTTTTTTTCTTTTTTTTTTGCAAAACAGTTCTGGAAGTTCTGTAAGCATAAATTTCCAACTCTTGCTCCAGTTTCTCAATTTGTAGTTTAATTAGGACATTCAAAAAATACAATATGAATTGATCTAAAAGTAGCGTAGTATGGCGATTTTTTACAGTAACAGTTTGTTTTTTCTGGGCTCATTACATTGTTCTGATTTTTTTTGGTTACACTTGACCAAACCATCATCACAATCATTAATAAATGGTAAAGAGACCATTAATGGTTAACGGGTAGTTTATCAATGTTAGCATCGAAACCATTTATGAATGGTAAAGAGATCATATTGTTCTTCCATCTTCGTTTAGCCCCAAATCTAGCATTAGTTGACTTTAGGCCTGAAATTAGCCTTTATTTTTAATTGAACTTGCCCTGTCATGTTGGACTTACCCTAACATTAGCGGGCATAATGCCTTAATAAATGATCTATTTACTTTTTAAAATGATTTAGATGCAGTTTATAAATGAACAAAACATTAATAAACTGTTAATCATTAATAAATGGTATATTTACCATCTACAAACGATGGTTATTATAAAGTGTAAACTTTTTTTTTTTTTACATACATCACAAACAAAAGTACAAATGAATGAAATATCCACCACATCTCCAGCTTGTGCTCATGTTTTGCAACGTTTTACGTGACTCTTAAGAAAACAGAAAGGAAAATCTGTCGCCAAGTTACTTCATTTTTTTATGGTTTGATTTAAGCTCAGGATTTATGAAGAATTATGAGTCCTGAAAGGGAAAAAAACTGCCATAGTTTTGATTGTATTTATATTTAATTTATTAGTGTTTACATACAGCAACCAGCCATCAGAGGGCCATCTTGCTTAACATTTTTCTTAGATGTGCATTTAGATGTGGATAGAAATATTCCAAAAGGTGTAGAGTATTATTTAATTCACAATATTTATGTATACATTTCATAGAGCATATTATGTTTAAAACCTGTTCAAAAATTATTTGGCTGTAGATGTGTCTAATGTTAGATAATTATGCTCAGCGGGAAGAGAATCAGCTTTACACCGAGCGTGGAAGCTGCCTTTCTCTACATCAGGTTCTCCGATTGCACTGATTGCCTCTGTGTCCTGTGGACACTACCTTGTACTCATATACTGAACAAACATAAAAGACGAAAGCTTTTGTTTACAGTTTACATGCAATATCAGAGAGAGGCTGTTTCATCATGTGGATGTCTTTCCTTCTGTGGGTTTTTTTGTTAAAAAATATTGTATTAAGTATTTTCCAGATAAGCCTACATAAAAGCATGTCTTTATATGTTTTCTGTAAATGTATTTATTTTTTTCGGTTATACTTCATTCACCCTCCTTTAAATCAAAACAGTAACTTAGCTATGGTTAATAATAAGAGGTTATGGCTATGTATGTTGCACTTTGTATTTAATGATTAAATCACAATAAGCAGAGTAAGTAAAATGCTGTCTGTTTTGTATTTGTCTTATGCATATATGTAGATCATTTTTATTTGATACAGGTTAACTTTAGAAAGTTAATAATTGTACTGAGGATAGCTAGAGAAATTATGACTTTCGCTGCATGAAACCTTGCATCATGTCTATGGGCAGGGGGAAGATGATGGTGGAGTTCTTCTCTGAAGCAATGCTACTGAGTGTCTGCAGGTATCGTAGCTGGAGAGCAGACGGGGCTTCAGCTATAACCAGAGAAGCTTCTTTCAGAGCCCTGGAAGCATTCATTTCACCCTCTGCAGCAATGATCTGAAACAAAGACAATAACACCCATTACAATCTGCTTCTCCATATGTTTACTTCGTGTTTTTTTTAGCTTGTAAAATTGCAAAGTAAGCCTTTGACTGCTGCCCTCACCTTAGCCCTGGCCTCCCGACTGGCCTCAGCCTCTGCAGCCATGGCTCTCTGCAGCTGTTGAGGCAGCTTCACATCCTTGATCTCCACACGCTCCACCTTGATACCCCACTGATCAGTGGCATCAGCCAGGGCTTCCTAAATTTTCCAACAAACGTTATTCTAGACTGTTTGCAGAAGCACTATAGCAAACTGGGGGAAAAAAGTGAAATATACAGTATATTTCCATTTATGGCATTTCCCGCCTAACTACATCGCCTTATACTGTGTTACCTCTTCTCTTCATTTTATACAACAAATTTTACTCTGAAGTGAGAGGACAATACTGCAAAAAAGTGCCCATTTTACCCCTAACTTTTGATTTACCTACAAGTCACCATTAAAAATGTCCAGTCTAAATTGCATATTGCTGTGATGCATATTGGGATGTTTATCTTCCAATAAAATAGATATTGCACCTTTGAGACCTGACTGATACCGATATTGAACCGATACGATATTGGCACGGATCCTATATACCATTAATACTTATTTTTTTAAGTGTGGGATGTAAACAGGTTTGATCAAATAATATTATCAAACAGATAATGATAGTCAACAAAAAATCCTCCTTCTCACATATAAAGCCTTTAATGGCCAAGTTCCATCTTATATCAGAGATCTGATTGTTCCTTATGTTCCAAACAGAGCACTTCGCTCTCAAACTGCAGGTTTACTAGTGGTTCCTAGAATTTCTAAAAATAGAATGGGAGGCAGATCTTTTAGTTATCAGGCTCCTCTTTTGTGGAACCCACTACCAGTTTTAGTCCGTGAGGCAGACACCCTGTCTACTTTTAAGGCTAAGCTCAAAACTTTCCTTTTTGATAAAGCTTATAGTTAGGGTGGCTCAGGTGATCCTAAGCTATCTCTACAGTTATGCTGTTATAGGTTTAGACTTTTGGGGGACATAGGGACCCCCATTTCATCATTCTGCTTCATTCTCTCTCTATTCTCCAATTCTGCAGAATCTGTTAGTTCAATCTTTAACGTTATGCTCTATCTGCTTTTCCTCAGAGTAGCTTTGCCTCCTCTGTTCCTGTTTGGCTGTGACGCCATCCTGGATAGAAACATCAGCTGTGCTGCTTCCATCAGCACCCTTGTTTATAGATGCTGGAGATAGGCTTGTTTTCCAGTGTGGTCCTGTTTCTCTCATCGTGACTGGGTGAATGTGCTCTCTTCGTCCTCTGGCATGGGAGCTGGTCTGCCTGGCTGTGTTTCCTGGAACGAGGCTGCCTTTTACAGCTGCTTTTTGTGTCTCTGCTTCTTTCTCCTTGAACCCCAGTCGGCCTCGGCAAATGGCCGCTTACACTGAGCCTGGTTCTGCTGGAGGTTTCTTCCTGTTAAAAGGGAGTTTTTCCTCTCCACTGTCGCTACAAGCATGCTTAGTGTGAGTGATTGTATTTGAGTCAATGAGTCGATGCAATCAACTGGTTTTCCTTAGATAGAAAAATTTTTATCAATTTGACTGTATGATCTGGTGAACTGTAAAGTGCCTTGAGATGACATGTGTTGTGAATTTGGCGCTATATAAATAAACTGAATTGAATTGAATTGAACAGCAATAGGTACGAGAACAACTGACCCATTTCTCATAAACCAACCGAAGGTATTGTATTTTCACAGCATACTAATATTCGGCATACTAATCTGATAGTTTATTGCCTGATTTCAAACCGATATCAGAATGAGACATTCCTAGTTGCATATGCATAAAATATTCTCCTCTACAGTTTGCCAAAAGCAACAAAAACGGAAGAAGGAACTCCATATATTTTTCCCTTCTTCTCATATTTCTTTATTGCTTTGTGTTATTTTGTCAAAACAAGTTTAGATATATCAAAGTGTGGTTCTGAAAAATGTGAAAAAGGTTAATCAGGTATTACTTACACTGTAAGCATTGTGTTTCTATAAAGACATACAGCTCCTGTAGTGCCTTTTATTAGAGTTTTTATCTAACCTGCATGCTCATTGAAATTCCTTCTCTGTCAGACAGAAGTTCTGCAAGGTTTTTGGTGCCAAGGACATTCCTCAGAGTGGTTTGTGCAAGCAGACGTGTGGATGAGTGTGCGTTGGACACATTTGCCACAGCTGAGATGGGACAGTGAATGCGAAAGTACACAACTCCATCCACTGACACAGTGACAGAGTCTTTGGTTAGGATCTATGAAAGGATATATAGATAGAATATTGTTCAGTAATAAAGACTCTTTTTTTAAGTGCCCGAAAAGAAAAAAAAAAATCTTAGAAACACATCCTTTATGTACAAAAAGAAGACTTACCTCTTGCGGAGGGATATCAAAAGATACTGTCCTTAGATCAACTTTCACAAAATTATCAGTGCAAGGCAAAACAAAGAAGAGGCCTAGAAAGAGAAAAATTACATACATTTCAAGCAAACTTTAATGGGGAAATCTATTCCCAAGAGGATCCAGTGTTTCTGTAAAAAATGTAAAATGACAAACCAGGTCCTTTAGGCTTCCGATCCGAGATCCGTCCCAGTCTAAAGATGACTGCTCGTTCATACTCCTTCACTATCTGGACAGCAAACCAATACAGAGAGCAAAATTAAAACAATTTCTAAATACTGTGTCCTCCAAAAACCATTCATACCACTCATACATTGTACTGTATATTTCATTTGGCTTTATTGTGATACAGTACTGCAGCATTGTATAGTTGAATTCAGTAATTTTTTCTTTCTCTTTGAAGCTGCAACTCTTCAAAAAGAATGTTTCTCACAGCTTCCCACTTCTAAAAACTGATCATTTTGAATTTTTTTAAATAGCTCAATCCCTGTCAGATTGGATAGAGAGCATCTATGAAGTTTTGAAGTGTTACCAGAGTCTTAAATGGATTTAGGTTTCTACTTTTCCTGTGCAATACACATGAATATGAAACCTCCTCCTGTCATCATTCTGACAAAGTAACTCGTTTGTTTGCATTCAGCTCTGCTCCAATCATCATTTCACTCATTCTTTACACCTGTTCAGCTCCCTCTTTCTCATCAGTGCTCATGCTTACCACCTATTCTTCTGCCTATTTAACCAGCTATAAAACCACTTACTGTTGCCAGATTACCGAAAGCCTTAGTTATAGAAGTCCAGCGTTCCTTCCCTGCCTGATAACATCCTCTCCTCCGTCCTACGGCTTCCTAATTCCTTCCCATGCCCAACATCTCCTGCTTTCCAGTCTTAAGGCTAACCCTATCCAACCAGTAGTTTGATGTCACCTCCACCCTGTTAAGAAGGAACCTAAGCTCAGCTCCTAGTTCCTCAGAGTTGTCAAGGGGTTCCTGAACTTGTTGCTGGAGGTTGCTTACCACCTCCCTTTTGGATTATAGGAAACTTTAAAACCTTTTCTGTTGTTTCTGACGGAAATCTTGGGTCCTACATTTGAGTGGGTTTACACCTCCCTAGTTTCTGGTGTTTTGCAGCTTCCAGCAGGTGTTCCTCTTGGATTAAATTCAGTTAAATCCATCAACCACTGATGCGTGTTCCTGCCATCCCATTTTTTCAAGATGTGTTCAGGATGATATGTTTGACCAAATCTAGTGTACAAGTATTTCAAAAATATTTTAACTTACATATCCAGATGTATTTCCAAATCAAGATAGAATTAGGATATGATTATCTGGAGGAAAATGACTTCACTACTTTTATCATAGTTAATGGGCCTAAATACAAATGGATGCTAAAATTTAAGCTCTCCACTGTGAGATCAATAAAATCTATCTTGTCTTATCTCACCTTATCTTAAAAGCTGAAGGAAATATGACACTATCTTCCTTTTACTTCATAATTATGCACTACGTTGTGTTTGCCATTCACATAAATCCTGATCAATGAATAGGACGAAAATGTTCTTACCTTGACACACATAAACAATGTGACAGGAAAGGTTAGCGCTATAAACAGTAGCGATATGATGACTAGCAATGAACCAAAGCATCCCAACCTTCCTGCATTTTTATCTGTGGGGAGATAGAAGTTAAAATCAAAGCTTGGCTTTGAATTTGCTTAAGATCTGTTCTATTAATATGAGCCCTAAATATCTATTTTGCAAGCTAGTGCACTAAGTTTGACGATAGTTAATTAAAGAGTGTTAGATCTATTTAAACAACAAAAACATCCATGCTGAGGGCTGCGCCAAAGTCAAAAATATCATTTGTAAACAGTAGTATCATTATTCCAAGAGAGATATCATTGGACCTTTGCCTGAGCTAGGAGTTGCTTTGCAAACTCTCTTATATATTATAAATTGATTTCATGCCTTTCAATAAAATAGTCAAAGCGGGATTGGAATGATTCAATAATTTTCCTCCTTGATGGTGTCGACAAGTAAAGTCCTCAACGTTTGAGAGTAACCAATCATTTATTACATTTTTTTTATTTTAAAAAAAGTGCCAATAAAATCTATAATGTCTTTCTTGGTATTTGACTTAAATACACAATGATCCATTAAAAACTCGACCGGAAATCTGAATTTCATGTACATTTCATGTAAATGGATATATATATATATATATATATATATATATATATATATATACATGAAGGAAATATGACACTATCTTCCTTTTACTTCATAATTATGCACAACGTTGTGTGACACTAATATATATATATATATATATATATATATATATATATATATATATAGAGAGAGAGAGAGAGAGAGAGAGAGAGAGAGAGAGAGAGAGAGAGCTTTTATCAAGCCAGATCTTGGATAGTAGCTCTTCAAAACACAAAAATGAATTAAAATTTGATGAGTAAAGGTCACCAATCCTTTTTAATCTTATCAATACCATAGTTTGAAAGTTACATCTGCTGATTTCCACACATTGGACTAAATTGTGACAAAATGTTCAGAAAATGATTTTCATTTTTTCTAAATTGTGTAACATCGCTGATTGGTTTAGTCTTTTTATTTATAATTAATAACAAAAAAGAAGATTTTGTATTGTTTTTTAGAAACTGAATTGGCCGGAATCGACTTCTTTATATCAGTCAAAAATAAAATTACATCATCTGTCATCAAACGGACATTGTGTGCTTGGTGGGGCCCATTGTGATCCCAGGGATGGGTGGATGCAGATGAATGGCTGCTGTCTATGGCCTGAGAGCTAGTGGCAAGGGAATGAGTGGACATCCTTGGTGAAAATCCTTTATTCTAAATGGCTTTAATAATATCTTATATTTTTTTTATTCTCTTGGGTTATTATACATTTACAAGTTTTTTCCACAACACAACATTTCCAATATGTTAAAAATATTCATTTTACCCTATTGGAAGCTTTTTCCTGCATCAGATGAGAGAAGTGCACTCTATTTAGACCAAATTCTGATATTGTGGTATCTTTACCACCCAAAAGACAATAAACCCATTCACGTGGACCGATGATCCTTATGTTTGGCAGTATTCTTTGCAGCTGATTTTGAGATTTGAGTTTAGAAAACTAGTACTGTAGGCCTCAGGGTTTTACATTTACAGTATTAGGGGATTTACCCGGCTTTGGCAGGGGAATAATTAAAGCCTGATTCATGGAGGGAGGCAGGAAGCCTTTTATAGAGAATGATAAAGATGTCTAAAAATATGCTTTTTAAAACAAATTAACTGTGTAATGTAGCACTTAGTATAATCCTGACTCTTTTTTCAATAAATCTGTAATAAATGATTAAACTTTACATTTCTCCTTTCAAAATTATAGTAATATTTGGGGATCCCTGCTTATTCTAAGTAAATCTTCAATACCGAATCTAAATTTGAGTTCTTGATTTAGATATTTTCTCTTCAACAGCTTGATAGAAGGATACAGCTAATGGAAAACATGGCATCCAATTTGAATAAATGGTGAAACACATCATTTAGGGAGGGATTGCATTCAAGTCGACGCAATCAACTGGTTTTCCTTAGATAAAAAACTTTGAATTAATTTGACTGTATGACCTGGTGAACTGTAAAGTGCCTTGAGATTACATGTGTTGTGAATTGGCGCTATATGAATAAACTGAATTTAATTTAATTTACAGGCTATCAAGACCTACATTTATAATAAAATGTATTACTGCAAATAAACTATTAAAAAAAGCCAAAAACCCAATGTAACAAACAACATCATTTGAAATACAATCATGACAACAAATAAAGTAGCAGTAAGTTAAGAAATGTCATAATTCTGACTGAGAATATGGTGGTTTACACCTTAAAACATTAATTCCTTGTCCTCCTTGTTCGTGCCTCTATAACAATAATGAGAACATAATTACCTTCAATATTTTCTTCACTTATCTGAAGTTTGCCTTGAGTAACCATTTCCACTGTGCTGGATGTTGTCGAGATCATTGGTGAAGCATCCGGATAATGGAGAAGCAGCAGCACACTTGTTTACTTCCCTCCCTTCTCTCAGTAGGGTGTGGTCTATCCACTTCGCTCTTACTGCTTCCTGTAAATCTATTGGTGTGGTAACCTGAACCACAGAGCATCCAGCTTTTGCATACTACTGTAGTTGAAATCTCCAGTTTCTAAAACCAATAGTCCTACTAGTATCTTAGGGGGAGTCTTATCACTTGTTGACTCCAGGTGATGAATAATTAACAAGTCCAGAAACATGAGACTTGGTGTGAAGAGGCGGCGGGACCGTCAGCTCATCTCATTTTGAAAGAAAGCACTTATAGCAGTTCATTACTTTTACAGTAATGGGTTTTTCATCGACTACGATAAAGAAATGCTTCCTTTTTACAGCATAAGTTGCATAACAAACCACATTTACATCATTTACAGAAAAAGTAAGAGGCCTGAAATGGGAAATTCAATAAAACCTGTTCATTATTGTGCTAATGATTAGTTTGAGGTACCTCAGTCTGAACAGAGAAATGTTTTAGAAAAGCTAGACCAAATAATCTATATCTATTTGAATAGGTTGCTCTTACTAAAAAAAAAAAAAAAAAAAAAAAAAAAATGGGCAGAAAGGTGGTACATAAGTTTTCCCACATACACACTGACAAGGTTGCACAAAGATATATCTTTAAAAATGTCTTCAACAAAACACTATGCAAAGTACATCATTTTCTGCGACTGTGCACCATGTCTCCTGATTTTCTTTCAGTCTGCAAGGGAATCTACTGTATTTCAGGGTATCGAGATAAGCTTTTGCATTCCAAGTTATGCAAATTAACCTTTAGACTAAATAATTTTTTTAAGAATACTAAAAAAACTGTTGACTGCTTATTGACTTTAAAACATCAGTTTAGCAACAATCTAAATATTAATGCACTGGTTATAACCATCCACCTCATAAAACAACATATGGTAGCAAAAAACATCAAGCAGATACTTGAATGTTAAGATTAAAACTTTATTTCATATGACGAAGACATTTTGCCTGAAATTTGTTATAACAAAATTCTTATTTTAATATTGTTTTAGAAGTATCAACCACTTTATTTATCATTTAAACAAAACATTGTAGGCAGAGTTACATCAGGTCAGACATGTTAATTAGGGGGATTAATCAGCACCCACCCTATCCATCATATACTTGCGGCTCAACTCGTAAGCTAGGAAGAGGGCTCCGTTGGCAGGGAAGGTGCGTATCATGGTGGGAGTCAAACCAGAGTACAGAGCGGTGAACCCTGGGGGGAAGACACAGTCAACAGCTACACAGGTTGTTCCCTAAAGACGATGAAGCCTCCATCTTGGGCAATTTGCAAATTAATGCATTCATGATGTGTCCCACAACCTTAAAGAATGGGTTTATGCAAACAATCCCCCATTGACAGAGAACAGGACACATTTTTTAATCTTTCAAATAAGCCTGGCTAATTCAGAGAAAGTATTAAAAATACGGTTTATATCTTTTTTATTCAAAATACACATTTCAAGACAATAGCTGGATCATCTAGATTTTATTTCCTGACCAGAGATGGAAATCCTTTCAAAGGAGTAATTTTGTACGTGCAGCTCTACCTTTAGCATTGCTAATAAAATGTTAGTTTGTCCTACATTAGGTCTAATAAGCATATGAAAATAGAAAAAAATTATGCAAGACATGTTCATAGTTAACATCTTGGAAATCCGGTTTATCTTATATGGTATCATCAAAGGAGTTACAGCGTACTTAACAGTTCAGGAAACTAACCCTTGAGCTAATTCCCACAAAGTGCTAATAAACACACAAGACTTTTCCTGTTGTCATGGAGATAGGAGATTACTGCTAAAGGATTAAAAAGATTAAATGTGGGTAAAAAGCTAAGTATAACTTGGACGTTAAAAAAAAGTGAGGCAAAAAGTATTTAGTCAGTCACTGATTGTGCAAATTCTTAGGAAAGAGGAGAGCGCTGTAATCGTCATACAAGGTACACTTCAGCTTAGATAAAATGAGAAAAATCCAGGAAATCACATTTTAGCATTTTCAAAGGATTTAATCTATAAATTAAAAAGGAGAGTGACTCAACAATAAGCAAGCAGGCTGGTATGAATAAACCAACTGGGGGAGCAATTATAAGACAATGAAAGACATAGAAGACCACCGAAAATCTTCATGCAAGATCTCATCTGATGGGGTCAAATAATAATAAGAATGGTAGGCAAAAATCCTAGAACTACACAGAGAGAGCTGATGAATGACCTACAGAGGGCTCTGACCAAAGCAAAAAAGGCTACCATCATTACACACTATGCTGAGAGAGACTTAAATCCTGCAGTCACAGGAGTGTCCAGACCATCTAAAGTTTTCCAGAGAGCATATGGATGATAAAGAAAATTGGGAGAATATCATATGGTCAGATGAAACCAAAATATAACTTTTTTTTTTGCACAAACTCAACTCGTCATGTCTGGAGGAAGAAAAAGCATGAGGGTTGAAACATCAAACTTTGGCACTATTTTTCTGCAAAGGAGACAGGAGGACTTATTTGTCTTCAGGGAAGAATGAATGGGACAATCTAAAGGGCTTTTAGCCAAAACCTGCTTTCATCAGGGAGAACATTGAAGAAGGAATTTGGCTAGGTTCTGCATGGAGGAATGGGCCAAAATACCAGCTACAGTGAGAGTAAATCTGGTAACCTTTGACCTCTGTCATTGCCAACAAATGTTATGTACAAACTTTAATTATTGAGTTGAACTTTTTCATTGACCAAATATGTATTTTTCCACCATAATTTTTAAATAAATTATTTGGAAAAATCATACAATAGGATTACCTGGATTTGTTTCTCCCATTTGTTTCTCATAGTTCAAGGATACCCATTGTTGTTGGTTATGTTCCTAACAGCGCCCTTTACTCTCAATCTGCAGCTTTACTAGTGGTTTCAAGGATTTTTAAAAGTAGAATGGGAGGCAGATCCAGCTTTAGTCTGTGAGGCAGAAACCCTGTGTACTATTAAGGATAGGCTTAAAATAATTCTTTTTGATGAAGCTTCTACAGTAGTAAGAGTGGCTTAACCTATCATGAGCTATAGTTACTTATGCTACTATAGGCTTAGACTGCTGGAGGACAGAGGGACCACTTTTCATCAATTTGCTTCTCCCATTCTGCAGTATTTTGTAGTTCAATCTCTGAATTTATGCTTTCTTTGCTTTTTGTCATTGTATTAGCTTCTTCTGATCTGTTCTTGTTAGGTTTTGAAATCACCCAGGAGAAATATCAGCTGGGCTGCTCTCATCAACCCCTTTGTATATAGATGTTCAAGTGTAGTACCGTTTCTCTTACAGTGAATTGTCTCTGTAAAGGGCCTTCATATGACTTGTGTTCTGAATAGGCACTATATAAATAAAATTTATGAAATTGATGTAAATTACATACCTCTCTCATCTTTCTAAGTAGAAGTTGCACAATAAGTAGTTGACCTTTTTTTTGCCCCACTATAAATGGCAATACAGAGACAGCTTGCAGGCTTTTAATGAACAACACATGTTCAACACTTACCCTCAGTACGTATAATACCCAAGAAGGTCTTCATGAACCCCTCTTGCCTTCCAGCTAATGAGTAAACCTGGATCCTAGACTTTACACAATCTATTGGATAGACCACCAGCCAAAGACAAGCTCCTCCAAATCCACCACTAAACATGAGTGGAAGAATGCCTGCATACAAAGATATACGTTTTCAACATATCTTTAAAGACACATGAAAATGAAAATGAGAATAACATACCTATACTGTCTTTGTCTGTGCCCTTATGTTGTGCAAAAGTTGTCCGACACAACTCATAGGCCCCAAAGAAGCAGAAGTAACCTGGTATCTCCCTAACAATGGTTGAGGTCAGTCCCTGGTAGAAACCCAAAGGACCGTCAGTTCTCAGTACAGTCCTAACCACAGACCAGACAGTGCTGATGTCCCACCACAAACACAAAAACAAAGGTGAAGTCAGATGAAACTGAAAATGCTTGGTTAATTGCAATATTTCTGGTGAAGCTGACCTCCGGTGTCCTTTCGCTACCTTGCCAGTCGCTTCCATTTCGTGCATGGCCTGCAGGCGACATTTCACCAACTCTGTTGGGCACAAGGCCATGGAGGAGAAGATGGAGGCTAAGGACCCAGCAGATGCTTTCTGGATGTCACTGAACACATTAAATTAAGTTAAATGACACATTAGAAAACTAAATTTTGTGACAATCTTTAGATATCACCACCCAAATGAGAGTATGATAACCATCTGAAAGCTCAAAAGGATAAAACAGTAACTTTTCACCACTCCACCTAGACCTATTCTGATTCGCTTTCAAGCCTTGCTCTCTCTTGTATTATTGCCGCCTGAATGATCTATAAATCACGTGTCAGCCTTTTGTAAAATATAGTTCTTTTAAATAGCTCCCTCATAAGAAAAGTCTAATAACTGTACTTACAAAAGAAGCTTTCTGTAAAAAAAATAAAGTTTGTTTGTTTTTGCTAATGTATTTAATTTCATGTAATAAAATGCAAAGTAAATACTTAAAATAAGACTATGTGATTTTTATGGATCTTTGCTGTAGATTCCATGACTCACAGTTTCAGAGTACCTATGATCAAAAACATTTTAGACTTCTACATGCTTAGCAAGTAGGAAAAAACTGGGTATTGTTACAGAGGTAATTATCCAGTGCGAAATTTGCATAACAAAATATTAAAAAATCTTATGCAAATTTCTGTTAAACCCTTTTGACTGAAGTTGCTGAAAAAACGTTGAGAAAAACGAGTCTAACTTTGAAGATATCACAGTCAGCCCTATTTCTTATGCATCTACTCCAGAAAAGCTATATCATTTTACTCTAACTGCTTGCTCTCCCTCATTTCTCTCTACAAATAGAACATTTTAACCTACCAGTAAGAACCTCTAACCAAGACTTTATCAAAGCCATCCACTAACTACAAAAACTATAATTGATATAGCCTGTCAGATGGCCAAAGGTATTGATCCAGAGTGAAAATTATAATGGCAATAAGAAATCCACATCAGAATCAAACCTTAGTTCGGTTCCTTTATCCATCCTTAACAAAAGGCGGACAGCGTCCTGGCACAGGCCGTAACTTAAGAAGAGCACCGCATTCTCACTGATGTTGGCAAGGAGGGCCGGTGTGGTGCCTTTGTAGAGACCACGGAGTCCCACCTGTTTGAAAGTTGAAATGAAGCAGTGGATGAAGCCACGGTACATGCTGGGAAACGTCTGCATCTTCACCTTGGCTGTGTCAAATGGCTGACCACTTAGCACGCAGGCTGTACCACCTAAAGTAGGACAGCATAATAATTGATCAAAGTTTTAAGCTTCACCAAAGCAGAAGACACACCTTCTAATTCATCATTAGGGTACACATGAACTGATTCAGTGCATAGGAAATGTTTAAATTCCCCATTCAATGTATTTTATTTGATAGGTCGCCACACCAGTTGTTCCAGCAAATGAAACGCTGAATTGTGTGGCATGCATTTTTATTCACTTCCCTTAGTTTCCTGGTACCGCCTCAGGTACCAAGTAGCATGTTTTAGACTTCTTCTCAATGCTGCACACCTGACTTATATTAATAAATAATTAATTGGCCTTTGCGTCACTTAAAGGCTGCTAAGCAGGACATGCAATTATTTGAATCATTTTTGCTGCAACAGATAGACATCTAAAACATGCAGGGTAGTGGTACTTGTTGAACAGGAGAACTACTTTTTGGTGTAATTAGTGATAACAGTATTCCTTTCTCTAGAAGATTATCTCGAGTTCAGAGCACATTTGAGAGCATAGCCTTGCCCCAGTTTATAAATAGGATCTAGGTCTCCTATTTAACTTAAGACTGTCACATAAATGTGGTCTGATTAAAAAACGTTCACATGTAGCTCTGACTTAGATTAGGCTCCTGAAGTTTTGAGCCTTGAACAGGTATTCTGTCAATATTGCTCTCCATTTTGTTTCTTCTTTCTATCTTCTTTCTATCCTCCCATCAAGCTCAAACGGCTTTTTGAAAAGCAGATTACTAAAAGGATCCCAAAATTTGACGATGAGTAAAAGTTCGGTCCCTGTAGGGATGGGGTCTGAGGGTAGATTAGGCAACAAAATAAAAGGGAGCTTGCAACAATTTCTTGTTGTAGGAATTCTTTAAGAGGTTGTTTTAAAAAAAAAGTGCTTGAATGCCATATGCAGCCCTCAACCATATTTATATAATCTGGTCTGTTAGCACAGATAAAGATGGTGATTTATTAATATTTTACATTTACATTTTAATAGACAAATGATCAGAATCTTAAAACATAGAAATGTCAGGCACAACTGGAAATATTTCTTAATTATGAATCAGATTTCTGCATACAGTAAAAGAGAACCATGAATGTTTATGAGCTTTTAATCTAAGCCCATCTTGAATGTATTTCAAAAGAAAGAGGAACCAATGCACTGTGCTGAGATTAGGTTCAAAAAATTATTGCAAGACAAAAATGATATCAATTCACCAAACAATTTAGGAAACCGTAATCCTGTCATGTGTTTTGGATCTATAATGCAATGCAGATCTCCTTTCAGCTCAAAACCCTGACCATATTGCTGGAGATTCCCAGTCATTCAGGTCATAGTCAGTTTCCCTGACCATTTTGTGTATTTCAAAACAACTGACCTTCTTTAGATTATCGTTAAACAAGCAAAAATTTAAAATAGGCAAAATAATTTATTTTGTGAACTTAAGTGAATGAAGCATCTGTCCTTCCTTCTGATATAGAAACTGGCTCAGAGCACTTCTACTTAATTTTTTTTCCCAAGGCAGAGACTCTTGTGCTGCTAATTTACCTTCTCTAACATAAATGGTTAATTTAAATTCCTTTTGTATGTCTGCTTTTATCTCCTTGAACATCCAGTCTGCCCAGGCAGAAGGACTCTCCAACCGAGAGAGTTCTGTTAGAGATACCGAATGTAGATTCTAGCATCATCAAATCAAATCAACAACATTAGAGAATAGGGAGCTTCTCCAAACATTAGGGCAAAGCAAAACAAGGACTACTAGCCATACTAATATTATAACATAAATGAAGTGTAAATTCTCTCATTAAAAGATAACAACAAACAGATGAGTAAAATCAAGAAAATATCATAAAAAGAATTACAGAGAAGTGATAGATATGTGCATACAGATGATAATATTGGAGACTATGATCATTTATATATGAGAGTTCATGAACTGTGATGGATCTTGGGGAAGTCCTTAGAAGTCGGATTGTCTTAGCTTTGATACATCTGTAATTCCTATCAGACAACAGCAGCTCAGACATCAGATAATATCCACGATGATCAGGGAGCCCATTATATTTTATTTTTCATGTTTGAAAGGGCATGCTAAGTTTAGCACATGGTGAACTGGCTTTATATGTTTAATTCTAGTACAGTATATCTGGTAAATAAAGTGAATGTGTGACAGAAACTATTCTAAGGCAAACTATTTGCTAACTAATTGTTGACAGATCTCCATTCCCCTATTGAGCTATGACAACTAGAACCACAATGTTTCACCACATAAGCTGTGATGATCAGTGTGATTTACTAAGTATTCATTGCTCCAAAGGTATTTTTTGAAGTATTGCAAAAGTAGTAACAAGAAATATTCTATTTTTAGATTAAATATTGCACAGTGATTCTATTAGTTATTTTATATATATTTATTTTGAATAATCTAACCATGCTTTCAAGTTGATTAGGTAAAGGATTTGTGAAATCATATGCATCTTTTTCCCTTCAACTCACAATTTGGCACCACTTTTTCCTGGCTTGTGAACATTTCAATAAAATACATTGAATGATGTGACATGAACCTATTGTGAACATATTCATAAAATGTTTTATGAATATGAGTCTTCATGCAATGCAATCCTCAGCTTATTTAAAAGAATGACTGTTTAAAAAAACTATTCAACTTGCCTGCTGCTCCTGCTGAGAAGTCAATGACAGCTTGTATTACAGGATGTGGGGCCATGATGGTGTCTGTGTAAAAACACAACACTTCAAAAAAGACTGAAAATCCTAAAAGCCCCTGAAACTGGAAAGCGAAAAAAAGTTGACAGTGACAAATGAAGTTTATATCAAACTCACCCGTAGTCCACTAAATATGGATTTAGGCTACAGTATCTGGTGTCTTTCTTTTGGCTCACCTTCGATACGATGTGTCCAGTAGCTATGGCAAAAAAAAAAACAGCGATTTAAAGCAAAACTCCAGAGCAAACTCACACTAACCGTCTGTCCTAAACTTCCGTCATCTCAAGACTTGGAGCGCACCTTACGTAAGCGCGTAAAGACGGATTTCAATACATTAGACGCTCTCTTTTGGCAACATGGCAAAAAAAAGGTTTAAAATAAAGATATAGTCTGTGTATCAGTCAATTAATGGTGATCAATTAAAGTCACATTTAAAGTCAGTCAATTAAATTAAAGTCACTATCTGTCACTATGGTGCGCTGTGTGCCATAGCTATGATACTTATTGTCCACTAGATGTCAGCAGACTCCACGCCAAGGATACTATCTATCTATCTATCTATCTATCTATCTATCTATCTATCTATCTATCTATCTATCTATCTATCTATCTATCTATCTATCTATCTATCTATCTATCTATCTATCTATCTATCTATCTGCTTTGTTATCTAAATTATTTGATCCCATCCCAAAGTATTTGAAACTAACACACCAGTGCGTCAATCTCAGGGAAGATTAATGCAAAATAAGGATTTATTATCACTGTTATAATCTAAACTGTGCATGTAGTATATTTTGCTACAGTTCTTCACTGAAAAAAAACAATGCAACAGTTTTCGGCATTTAATGCAATTCAATTCAGTTTATTTATATAGCGCCAATTCACAACACAAGTCATCTCAAGGGACTTTACAGTTCAACCAGATCATACAGTCTTAATTACTTAATCATATTTAGTTACTTTAACACAATTGTTTCATGTTAGCAGGGTAGGACATAAAACAATTGTGTTACAGTAACTTAATATGATTAAATAAATGCCAAAAGCTGTTGCATTATTTTTTTCAGTATATATAAGTCATGCAGAGTTGGTGCAGTGTTAGTATCTTCATCATATTTATCTGCTCCAAAGTATTGTTATATTTACCAATGTCAACCCTTTAATATGATACGAGTATGTAAAATTGTCATTCTAGGGGAGTGACTGTATCTGTTATGTGATGTTCCCACTTTGAAGTGGACATGATCAATGTGGTCCAAGAACAGAACATCTCTGAACATGCAAGAGTTATGAGGGGATCCAGGCTAATTGATACAGGTGGGGGCAAGACTGGTCACTGTCGTCCAGTTAATAGGCCATGTACTGTAACCCACATTGGACTGAATTCTGGTTCAAAGAGAGAGGGAGAGAGAGATTTATGTTTATGTTTTTAACTATGCAGAGAACTGTGCATTTCGAACGTATTCAGTGTGTTGCAATTTTATGTTACAGCCTTATTCCAAATATAAAAGTAGTTCCTGGATCCACTGTAACTGACAACCTTTATGAGTCTTTATGATTTTTTTTTTTTTTTTTTATATTGGTTCAGAATCAGAGTGGAAAACTGTTTAAGAATGATTCATAAGGAAATGCATAAGAAGCAAACACTGCAAAAGCAAAGTTGCGTAATACAGTCAGATTTTTTATATGGCTTCTTTTTCATCATTTTAAGCAATCTAAAAGATCCTTTTAATTGTTTTTTTCCTAAGCAAAAAAACAATTAAAAGCGTAACTTGACAGTTATAATTAAAATATAATTTTGGTTTTATTCTATCCGGAATAAATAAAAAACAAAGACAAATGAGAGAAAGAAAGTGGGAAAAAGAAAAGATTTAATTAATTTTATGTTGTCCATGTGTTACAAAAGGGGCCTTTTCAATGACTAATTGTGTGTATCATCGCTTCGCTTCAATTATTATCCATTTATAACATGCGTTCATAACATTTTCTTTGTCATGACCATTTAAATATTCCCCAGAACATTTGGTTGATTTGACCATTTTTAAAATTAGGCGTGTCCCAATAAAATGTTCTCATGTGTGAAACAATACCCATATTGCAGCTTTTAGTGTTAACTAAGACCAACATTGACCTGATATAACATCCTGTGTCATACATCATTTATTGCCTATTTTATAGCGTGAAATGATAGAAAAGGCTTGATCATATGATATTTCTCAAACAGAGAACAAAGGTTACCATATAAGATATGACAACTGACCCATTTCTTATTCAACTTAGTTACATAAACTTCAATCAATAGCAGATCTAAGCATAATGTTTCTATGGGCTTATCAGATATTTTAGAGGCACAATCTGATATTCATTTTTTGGCTAATATTGGATCAATTTCAGATATGAACATCGAATCAGGACAGCCCTATTTAAAATCCAAGAACAGTTGTATTGTTTTACCAGTTTCCATTGTTTTTATAATTAGTCTAAATTTACAAGACTGGATAAAATCATTTTTAAATAGTATCTATTAAGTCTATCAACAGTTCTAATTTAGGTCTGCACTTTGACTTAAGAATTCAGACACATTATCATGCTTTGTTTTACACTGTTATGTTCTCAATGACAAGCTTTCTTCCCTACTTGATGGTATTAGCACATGGATATGCTTTTATTTAAACTACTCTATTCCATTGATCATTGAAATACGTATGCATGTTAAGCTGGAAGGTAACCTTTGCCCTTACTTTAAATCTATGTTTAGCTTCTGCATTCATTTGTATAGTGATTAAACAGAATAAGAGTTTTAACCCCTTATCTATCTCTATGGATAGATCAAACAATATCAACGATTAGAGTCAATTTGCACGTGTAATGTATTTAAAAAGCTGACAAAAAACAAGAGGATTAGGTTGACTAGATAAAAAAAAAATTACATTTTAAAGACTTATCGAGCATTTACAGAAGAGGATTAGGGCCACTGAAAAAAGAAAAAAAGTTACCTGATTTTTAAACGTTATTTCAGTTTAGTATGGAATAAGTCAGAATTCTGACTTTTTTCTAAGATTTCTGACTTTAATCTCAGAATTCTGAGATTTTTATTTATCAGGATGCCAAAAAGGAATTCTCATTTGTTTTTTTCCCCAAAATTTCTGAACCTCTGTTTTGTGCAAAAGTTATATATTGGTCCTTATTATGCTTGTTTCTATTGATTAATGTGAATCTGATTTTGTTCTGCATAACTTTTTTTTTCTTTTTGCTCTGCATAAGTTGTTCTTTTTTTGCCCACCACCCTAAAAATAAAAAACTAAATTTGTGACAAAACATGTCTTTTAATCCCAGAATTCTAACATTAAAGTCAGAATTCTGAGGTTAAAGTCCGAATTTTGAGATTAAAGTCCGAATTCTGAGATTAAAGTCTGAATTTTGAGATTAAAGTCAGAATTCTGAGATTAAAGTCAGAATTTTGAGATTAAATTCCGAATTTTGAGATTAAAGTCAGAATTCTGAGATTAAAGCTCGAATTTTGAGATTAAAGTCAGAATTTTGAGATTAAAGTCAGAATTTTGAGGAAAAAAGTCAGAATTCTGAGATTAAAGTGAGAATTTTGAGATCAAAGTCAGAATTCTAAGATTAAAGTCGGAATTGTGAGATTAAAGTCAGAATTCTGAGGAAAAAAAGTCAGAATTCTGAGATTAAAGTCAGAATTTTGAGATTAAATTCCGAATTTTGAGATTAAAGTCAGAATTCTGAGATTTAAGTCAGAATTTTGAGATTAAAGTCAAAATTCTGAGAAAAAAGTCAGAATTCTGAGATTAAAGCTTGAATTTTGAGATTAAAGTCCGAACTTTGAGATTAAAGTCAGAATTTTGAGGAAAAAAGTCAGAATTCTGAGATTAAAGTGAGAATTTTGAGATCAAAGTCAGAATTCTAAGATTAAAGTCGGAATTGTGAGATTAAAGTCAGAATTCTGAGATAAAAGTCAGAATTCTGAGATTAAAGTCAGGATTTTTTTCCCAAATTAACCTGAAATAGTTAACTTTTTTCCTTCCAAGTGACCCCAATCCTCTTCCGTAAGCATTAAATTGGTAGACAAGAGAAAAAAAAACTTCTTTGTGGTCGTTTTCAACAGAAAAACAGAGCAGCTCTTGAAGCGGCAGTCATTGGTGGCTTTTGGTTGTCAATCAAAGATGGGGGCGGTATCAGTTGACAAATGAGACTTCCAGTAAGTCCTCCTCACATGCTGTACAACAGAATCAACAGGCTGTAGGGGACAGCAGACAGAACATCACCACGACCGGACAACATAAACAAAGCAGCGCTCCAGCAGATCCGTCCCTGCAGCTCAACTTTGCCCCCCTAGAAAGAGCAGAGAGGGGCAGACTTTTCCAAAGTGTTTTAAAGCTTTTCACCGCTTTGGGATGGGACTTCCAGGGAGGAATAGGAGCCTTTTACGCTGAGACTTGTCTTGAGTTTCTCAACATTTCAGAGACCAATTATTGACTTTACGCAGGAGGCGTGAGACTTCTATGACATTGTAAGAAACCCCTTCATCTGTCGGCACCATGGCGGAAGCGGCCCAGCAGCCACACCTGGTGGAGATCGACCCGGATTTCGAACCCCTTTCGCGGCCGCGGTCGTGCACTTGGCCCCTGCCCCGGCCGGAGTTCATCAACCCGGGAGACTCCAACACTTCTTCGCCGGTCCCGTCCGTGAAACAGGAGCCCGGGGTGGGCCCCGCAGAGTTCATCAACAACCTGAGTCGGCTGGAGGAGAACGAGGACTTCCCGGAGCAGAAGCCGGTCATCCTCTGCAGCGACTTTCAGTGCCAGAAGAACTGCGTCCACCAGCAGACTCAACATCACCATCAGCAGCAGCAGCAGCAGCAGCAGCAGGCGAACCCGCAACTCCCGCATCCACAGCAGCAGGTGCCTCTGCTCTCCACCCCGGTGGGCTCCTCACCTTCCGCGGCCGCAGCAGCTGCAGCCGCCGCGGCGCAGAGGAAGAGCAGCTCCTCTCGGCGGAACGCATGGGGGAATATGTCATATGCAGACCTCATTACCAAAGCTATAGAAAGTTCTCCAGAAAACAGACTAACTCTGTCTCAGATTTATGACTGGATGGTGAAGAGTGTGCCTTACTTCAAGGACAAGGGAGACAGCAACAGCTCTGCAGGCTGGAAGGTAGGTCTGACTTTATTAACCGAGTCATTAATAAAAATGCACTGATCATGTTTTGTTTTTTTCTGGTTGACACCGATTTTTTTGATTAGATTCATTTATGACGAGTTACAGTCTGATGATGGAAAAATATTTTTGATTCATATACTTTTTATTTATCAGGATGCAAAAAGGAATTCTATGTAAACATTTGTATAGTGATAAAACAGAATAAGAGTTTTAACCCCTTATCTATCTCTATGGATAGATCAAACAATATCAACAATTAGAGTCAATTTTCACAATGTATTTAAAAAGCTGACAAAAAACAAGGATTAGTTGCACTATTTTTAAAGACTTATTAAGCATTTACAGGAGATGATTAGCGCCACTGAAAAAAGAAAAAAAGTTGATTGATTCTTAAATTTTATTTCAGTTTAGTATGGAGAAAAAAGTCAGAATTCTGACTTAAATCTCACAATTCTGACTTTTTTTCCCCAGAATTCTGACTTTTTTTTCCTGAGAATTCTTACTTTCATCTTAGAATTCTGACTTTAATCTCAGAATTCTGACTTTTTTCTCAGAATTCTGACTTAAATCTCAGATTTCTGACTTTAATCCCAGAATTCTGACTTTTTTCTCAGAATTCTGACTTTAATTTCAGAATTCTGACTTTTTTCTTAGAATTCTGGCTTTAATCTCGGAATTCTTATTTTAATCTCAGAATTCTGACTTTTTCCTAAGAAATTCTGACTTTAATCTCAGAATTCTGACTTTTTTTAATCAGAATTCTAAGATCTAAGATATTTATCAGGATGCCAAAAAGGAATTCTCCTTGGCTTTTTCCCAAAATTTCCGACCTCTGTTTTGTGCAAACCTATATATTGGTCCTTATTATGCTTGTTTTTATTGATTAATGTGAATCTGATTTTGTTCTGCATAAAGAAAAAAAGGAAAATACGTTTGTGACAAATCGTGTATTCTGAATCATTTTCGTTCTGCTAAATATGGTGTGATTTTTACTCTTTTGGAACACATAAAATACAAAAAATAAAAGATGCAAGATAGAAATACGGAGGAAATAGTTTTGTAACAGGGATAGACACACTTAATCTGTATTTATGCACCACAGTAAGCTGTAGTTTGATGCATTTATATACTGAAACTGTTGTGAGATCTTTGGAACAATCCATTGCTAGTCAAGAAAAGAAAAATGTCACTTCTAATTTCTTGCCTATTTATCTGCACATCTCCAAGTTGTCCTATAGGGAATCTTTGCTGCTTGTGCATGATAAAGCCACTGTCTGTGCCAGTTCCAGTGCAAAGCTATCCACTGGGGAGTTTTGGTGTGTCTGTGGTATTTCACAGTGGGTTTTTAGGGACTTCATTGTGTTTTATGCTGTTTTTATCTCATGTGGTATCTCTGTAATATCCTCTCTAGGGAGATTTGGTTTCTGTGGTGTTTAATGGGCCAGGGAGTTTATTGCAATGCCTTTTTGTCAGGGTTGTTTACTTTTATAGCCCTATTGTGTTTTCACTGTTAACGGGATCTTATAGTTTAGTCTTTATTTTCACAAGCGATTCATCAATCAGGATTTCCCCTGTTAATCAGATCTGATTTCTTGACTCCATTTTCTTTAAGACTTGCACAAAAAAAAAAAAAAAACATAGTTTGATACAAATATGCATTTTTTTTTCTGACCTGTCAATCAAACAATAGAGCGAAAAATGATCTCTGGCTGATTGCTATACATCTCTATTTTTACATTATAATTAAGTGTCTCCTTAAAATTCTCTAACATTTACTGAAAAAGCATGCAAACACTTTGAAATGGCAGCTAAAGTTTTAAATTATATACTTCTTGCAGCCAGTTAATGGTAATTTTACACAACTGTCGGCTTTTGATATCACCTTAGACGGTCATCTGACTTCCTACTGCAGAATGTGACTTATGTGAGTCTCCTGATTCAACAGGATTTTTTTTAAAGCTTGCCATATTGATCTTTTAAACATAGTAATCATATAATACTTGAGTGCTGACGGTATACTTGAGAAGTTTCTCTTCTGTGTTTTCTTTTCCTTTTGAAAATGTTATAGATTTTCAGGCTGAATGGGTTTTCCACATTAGACCGTGGAACTCAAATCCAGCTAAGTTTAAGCGCCTGTGTTGAAAGGAGACACCAGAGCTGATCATGTGTCCTAGAAACTTTCCCAAAACATTACACAAGAGTGGACTCAGAATTTCTGATGTGGTGTGAAAGAACACCCGCCTACCGAGGACTATTGGAGGGCGTAAACCTTTCTGTTATTTACTTTTTTTTTTGGGAGACACATAGTTTCAGCGGTGTCTGACAATAAATTAATGACAGTCTGCTCCCCCGGCAGGAAATCATAGTAAGCCTCACACTGAACGATTTATTACGGCTGCCCTCTGCTGTAAGCTTTCTGGTTTGCTGTTAAAGTTTCAAGCAGTTTTAAAGCATTATTTCTTTGTGATTAAATTGTATGGGCTTGCCATATTTGACTCCTGCTGAATTTTGACATGTTTTCAAAAATATTGCAAAGAATTTCCTTATGGTATATCTTGAACAGATGTAAACATCATTGATTTACTTGCATGTTGAGCATACTTGATGCAGTTTTTATTTAATTATTTTTTACAGAAACTTCTCTATATTCATCTATTTGACCCCAGTGTTTTTTGAAAAATAAAAAAAAAAAAGTTTCAAACTCACGTTGAGCTATCAGCTGTTTTCCCATCAGTGGAAAAACCCCTCCATTGTAGGAATACATTCAGTAAACATAGCCGTTAGTGGACAGATGTGTTGCTAGGGGGTTGATATTGTTCATGTAGATTTGTGCCTGAATACATTTGACCATCGCTTATTCAGCAGGTGCATATATGTGCTCTAAAACATCAACACTTGCCTATGAGATTCATTTTTCACTATTTGTTATGCTTTTAGTACGAGATTTGATTTCCTTCCAAATAATGAGCATGCAATAAGCTCTAAATGTACTTTGAGTTTGTGTGCTCCTGTCACTGTGTTTTTAACCTTTGGAGGGAGGACATTTTTACAAACTGAGGATATTTTGGATGGTAAACTTAGGTTGAGGGCTAAGGTTTGAATTGGGCTAGGGTGGAGTATGCATTGGTAATGGTTAGGTTTAGGGTTATTATCAGGGTTACGGCATAGAAAGGGTAGAAAATGACTAAAAGAAATCCATGGATGTCAACTTATGGTCCTCACAAACTATAGTGAAACGAGAAGTGTGTACATGTGTGTGTTAACTATGAGCTATGAGTCATTGTATAGTGAATGATGCGTAACACAAATAATACCTATCAATTACTGCAATAAATATAGCAAATAAACATTCATTTGGCAGGTTGATATTTGATCAACCTGATCTTGTCGAACATAGCAAAACAGAAAGGAAATACGTTAAACTAGAATCAGTGTATTTGGTTGACAAGGTGCATGGCTGTTGAACCCACACAGACCAGTTTCCATCCAAAAAGCTACTTCCTTATAGTGTTAATGCAATTAAAATGTATTACATTCACGACAGATGAAAAACTTTTAATTTTTTTTTATTATTCAATGACCATTTCAACCACTGTCAGTAGAAGGTATGAGGTTCTTACTAGGGCTGGGCGATAATTCAATAACGATATATATCGATCGATAGACGTGTGGCGCAATAGAAAAAAAGAGGGTCGATAAAAGTTCGATAAAAAAGAAACGCAGTTTTCCTTCCTTCTCATTGTAGCCTAGCATGTAGGTTTATGCTAGTCGCTGCTTCCTCCCAACCAATCACAATCGCGGACCCAGGCACGACGTCACCAAGCGCCGCCCTCTCAAACCTCAACACAGAGCACATGAAGCTGTGCAGCAAGGAGAGGCGGAGGAAGAAAGGTTTCAAAGAAAGGTTTTTGTAGTTCGGCAGTCTGGCAGTATTTCGGTCATGGCAAGTCGGACCAAAAACAAACCACAGTCATCTAGAAAATGTGTCGGGAACCAGTGAAAACCAGTCTGATAACGAAACCAACTTTTTTTTTTTATCATCTCAGCCGCTCGCAGCCGCAGGAGTACGAGCTGTGTAGGCCCCGACGCGGCTCTCCTCCGAGGAATCTTCGGAAAATATATATATATTTTCAGTTCTGGGCAGTTTCCCACGTAGTTCTAACAATTGAGATAAAAATGCTGAGGGGCCAGAAACTTCAAAGTAATAACTCCGGTTAAAGCAGGAAACGGGGGCGGCAGCGGCGGTGGGGGGGCATTTATTTATTTGTTATATTTATTTTGGTCACTTTTCTGGTCACTTAAGTTTATTCTTTGTCAGTATTTAATAACATAACTCAGGTCTCTTAAGTTATTTTTCTTTAAAACAATTCTGTTATGGTTAAAAAAGTTGGTTAAATAAAGATTTAATTCGAAGTCGAAGTGTTTTTTATTAAAATTCAATCATTTAGCAATATTATAAAAAGTCCAGGCAGAGCTGCACATAAAATATGGTTTCAAATCTTTTCAATAATTATCGATATCGATCAATATGCATTTTTTTTTATCGATAAGCTTTTTTTCTATATCGCCCAGCCCTAGTTCTTACTATAGATGTACAATTTAGGATGATTTGCACATACACTATATTGCCAAAAGTATTTGCTCACCTGCCTTGACTCACATATGAGCTTAAGTGACATCCCGTTCCTAATCCATAGGGTTCAATATGACGTCGGTCCACCCTTTGCAGCTAGAACAGCTTCAACTCTTCTGGGAAGGCTGTCCACAAGGTTTAGGAGTGTGTTTATGGGAATTTTTGACCATTCTTCCAGAAGCGCATTTGTGAGGTCGCACACTGATGTTGGACGAGAAGGCTCTCAGTCTCCGCTCTAATTCATCCCAAAGGTGTTCTATCGGGTTGAGGTCAGGACTCTGTGCAGGCCAGTCAAGTTCATCCACACCAGACTCTGTCATCCATGTCTTTATGGACCTTGCTTTGTGCACTGGTGCACAGT